TCCTAAAAAAGGATGAAGGACGCGTCTGGAACCCTTGCCGGGCGTGGTGAGCGCTGATAAGTCCGCAACGTCGCGAAGTCCAGAATCAAACACACGGGGTACCAAGGGAGCACTCACCGGGATCCATAGCGGATGAAAGACGTGTGGTGAGCGCTGAACGATGAGAAACAACGTGGAGTCCGAAGGCAGTCACACGGGGCACCAAATGTCGAGAATCCAGCTCGACATCAGTAAGAAAATCAGTAAGAAATCAGTCTCACACCAAGATGACTTGAAGAAAAAGCTTTGGCTTCAGCCGTGCAATGTTTATTGTGTGCAGTAAAAAAGGAAATCATCCTCCCTCCTCCAGCACTGCGCTTGTTCTGCCTGGTACTCAAAAGTAACAAATCAAAGGAATGTAACCTTGCTTTTGCCCACAGACAAAGAGAGTGTTATGCTACGTGAGCCAATCATTAGTCTAGCATGAGGTGTTAACGTGCTCATCATGCTCTTAGCAATATCTCGTGCTGTAAAATCACTCTGCAATAATAAGAACTCTGCTCATGCTCTTATGTACAAGCAATCATTTTCCCACACCTTTACCATTGAGAGATGGTTTCTCTTTGCCGTAACTGGCCTAACACTGATATAGCACAACAGATCTGTGTTACGGGTGATAAGGATGCACTAAAATATTGTCAAATAGTGTCAATTCTACTAGTTTCTCAGAAGAATACTTAATCTATTTTGTAACTCATGCAGAAGCCTGTATATAGTATTGATAAACTAATAAAGCCATTATACTGTTCACTTTGCATTGTACTAGGCTATTGTTTGCCCTAATCATACCAAGACAAGGACCTGACTATAAAAAAGCTCAGAAATATTGCTGAGTTTGCTGTGCTTCAAGAACCTGTATTTTGGCCTTATTTAGTAGCCCACCCATCTCTACAGGGAAGGAAAGTGTTTGTTTAGTGATAGCTAATAGGAGGGACGCGGGTGGGGAGGGACGTGGGTGGCCCTGTGGGTTAAACCACAGAGCCTAGGACTTGCCGATCAGAAGGTCGGCAGTTCGAATCCCCACGACGGGGTGAGCTCCCGTTGCTCGTCCCTGCTCCTGCCAACCTAGCAGTTTGAAAGCACGTCAAAGTGCAAGTAGATAAATAGGTACCACTCCGACGGGAAGGTAAATGGCATTTCCGTGTGCTGCTCTGGTTCGCCAGAAGCGGCTTAGTCATGCCGGCCAATAAAGCGAGATGAGCGCCGCAACCCCAGAGTTGCTCACAACTGGACCTAATGGTTAGGGGTCCCTTTACCTTTAATAGCAGGCAACTTGTGCCATTCTAGTGCAGACAGCTCTGGTCTGATGCCCTCCAGATCTACAACTACAATAGAAACCACAACTCTCCTCAGCCCCAGCCAACATGGCCCATGGTCAGGGATGGTAAGTGATACAACCAAAAACATTTGGAGGGGGACCACATTTGCGGAAGGCTGTTGCAGAGATTGGATGGCCATCTGTCATGGATACTTTAGTTGAGATTCCTGCATTGTGGGGACCTCTTCAAACTATGATCCTTTTAGTTTGGCTTTTTACAACGATAAAATGTTTAATGAGCTAAAAAAAAATTCAGTATACTTGTGGAAATGTTTATTATAATGAGTGTCATGTTAATGTCATATTCCCTGGATAGTTCTCCTATGGCAGTTTTTAAAGGATGCAATCTTTTTGACTTCCCCGTTTGCATCCCGCTTTGAACTCACAATGGAATCCCAGAGAAACGCGGGCATTTCCTGCTTTCTTCCAGTAAGGTACAGGGTGGGTACAAGCTACACTTCAGTGTCTTGTCACTTAAAACCAAAATGCAATACAACCAATTTGTATTAGTAGAGTGGCTAACTCAGAGATGTGAAACTGAAAATTTTAGATTTTAAGTCGGACACAAAGTGCAATCTATGCGTGTTTATTTTGTGAGAAAACCATGGCCAATAAACCATGTAACTGTGCAGAGAAATAGACTTAAAACACCTGTTTCTGTTTAAGTCGATGATGTGCAGTGTAAAGATTAGAGAACAGTGTGAAATTAATTATCTGGGCTTAGACGGCTTATATTCCATGCTGGGGGGCGGGATAAGAATCTGAGTTTGCTTTTGCAACAGCATATGAATCTCTCTGGCTTTAGCAGTTAAATTAGTTCACTCCTTAATTCATGAAAACTCCTTGTATCATAAGTGATATGAGTCAGAGCCTGGTAGGCAAAGACCCAGCAGGTGCATTTGAGTATTACATTAAAAGCTGGGAAAATAAACAAATTAAATCCACAAACCTGTTAGCTCATGCACCTTTCTGTACCTGCAGTCAAGAGTGGCAAATCAGCTTTTCTCGTTCCTCAGTCTCCCTTTGAGGCATGCACCTGCACTTAGAAATCTTAGGATGACTTGAATTTTAGCTCCCTGGCAAGAGCTGGAGAATGTTCCTAAGCTGTTCTGTGCAGGCCCCCATCCATGCACAAAGAGCAGCACAAATATACTGGCCCACATGTTCCCACACAGTGATGTTAGGTCATAGATGTCATATTTATGGCCCCAAATGGGGAATGAGGGGTAGAGCTCTAACTGACCTAGTTTCCTGGAGAGCATAAGAGCCCTGTTGGATCAGACCAGGCATAGGCAAACTCGGCCCTCCAGATGTTTTGGGACTACAACTCCCATCATCCCTAGCTAACAGGACCATTGGTCAGGGATGATGGGAAGTGTAGTTTCAAAACAGCTGGAGGGCCGAGTTTGCCGATGCCTGGATCAGACAAATGGTCTGTATAGTTCAGCAGCCTCTTCCTACGACGACCAACCAGATACCTATGGGGAATCCCCAAAAGCAGAAATGAGAGAAGTAACTCCTGTCCCCACTTCCCCACATGTTGAAACTCAAGGCATTCTTACACTGCAGGTGACAAGGTCAGTGGCTATTTATCAACTGTTGCTGACATTAACAAGACACACTCCAACACTTGTCAGTGGTGCAGAATGTATTCAGGGAAACTAGGACTGCAACCATTGCCCTCACCTGAGATCGACCACAAACTGAAGGTATAGGCAAACTGCATAGAAGCACTGTTTGTGTGTGCGTGTGTGAGACTTCACCCTAGTTTCCATGTGTTTAACATAGGTGGATAATGGGGCACAGAGTTAAAACTTTAGGGAAATAATGCGGAAGGCAACTTGAAGAACACACATCTCCTGCTTCTCTGGCAGAAACAAGCCTGTCTGTGCCTGAATTTGAAATTCACCCTCATAGTCATTTTCTATTTCAATAGAAGGCGTAACAGTAAAAATATTAGTAGACATTTCTTTTAAATTTGAGTTTTTCAACATGTAGGGAGTTGGTTTTTTAGCACAGATTTCCTAAATCCTTGACTATTTATAGAATACCCTGGTTCCAGCATGTGTATGCACCTACTGAACATGAAGCTAAAATGCCAGGGGATAGCGTTGTTTCATTAAACCCAGAGCAGCTGTGCCTGCAAATTGGAGAGCTTTGTGTGATGCTGATTTGTCATCTTGAGGGTTTTTTTGTTTTTTAATAAGGAGTTCTGCTCAGTAAATTAACTAAATTAATTAACACACAAACCATGACATTTCCCTCCTTGCAGCACTTGGCAAAGAGTTGGTAAGTAGCTAGAATTTTCATGTTTTCCTCTCCCATTGAAGATTGCACGTTTTTAACCTTATGATGTTGTTGCTTAGTCGTGTCCGCCTCTTCGTGACCCCCTGGACCAGAGCACGCCTGTCTTCCACTGCCTCCCGCAGTTTGGTCAAACTCATGCTGGTAGCTTCGAGAACACTGTCCCACCATCTCGTCCTCTGTCGTCCCCTTCTCCTTGTGCCCTCCATCTTTCCCAACATCAGGGTCTTTTCCAGGGAGTCTTCTCATGAGGTGGCCAAAGTCTTGGAGCCTCAGCTTCAGGATCTGTCCTTCCAGTGAGCACTCAGGGCTGATTTCCTTCAGAATGGATAGGTTTGATCTTCTTGCAGTCCATGGGACTCTCAAGAGTCTCCTCCAGCACCAGAATTCAAAAGCATCCATTCTTCGGCGATCAGCCTTCTTTATAGTCCAGCTTTCACTTCCATACATCACTACTGGGAAAACCAGAGCTTGAACTAGACGGACCTTTGTTGGCAAGGTGATGCCTCTGCTTTTTAAGATGCTGTCTGGGTTTCTCATTGCTTTGAAGAATACGGTACAGTGGTACCTCGGGTTAAGTACTTAATTCGTTCTGGAGGTCCGTACTTAACCTGAAACTGTTCTTAACCTGAAGCACCACTTTAGCTAATGGGGCCTCCCGCTGCCGCCGGAGCACGATTTCTGTTCTTATCCTGAAGCAAAGTTCTTAACCTGAAGCACTATTTCTGGCTTAGTGGAGTGTGTAACCTGAAGCGTATGTAACCTGAAGCATATGTAACCAGAGGTACCACTGTACACATATTCTGGGGAGGCCTTATTATTGGGGAGGTCTTATTTTCGGCGGATGCCTTTATATTACAGCGAGAGGCAAAACTGGGTCTTATTTTCGGGGGATGTCTTTGTCGTAAATAAAATATATGCCCTTTTCCCTTATGGGGTATCCAAGAGCCCATATAGAGTCCTTACATAGGTTCCCTATTGGTAGGAGAAAATAACAGAGGACAACCAGAGAATATTGAGAAGCAAAGCAGCTAGTAAGCTTGATCTTTATTGATCTGTTGCAACAGGGTCCTCACTCACACGCAGGAGAGGAGGAGGACCCAGAACCAAGGTGTGCAAGACTTTATAAAGACTTTTGAAATTCCCATTCTCTAGATCAAGACCACCCCCAGAAACATTATGCATACATCACAGAAGGGGTGTAACCTAAGACCACCCCTCAGATACATCCCACCTACATCACAGAAATTTAAATGTCGTTTTTCTCTTGTCCTTGTTTACCTCCTGTCTGGCAGGTTACTTGATTGGATTTGCCTGGGGAGCCTGGCCATTCTTTTGTAGTGGTAAAATACTTATTTCCTGGGCCAGGTCACAGGCTCACACCTTATTCAAGTTTAACTTTGCAGAGAAAGGATATGGTCAGTTTAGGAATCAAAATGGTTCCAGGTTGGCCTTCCTGTGTTGATCTATGTATGTGCAGTTATGAACATGACCATATATCTAAGACCATAAAATTCCTATCACAGTCTTACTTTTGGGAAAACAGGGTTATCTAAGACCTCAGAATTCCTCTCACCCCGGCGGCGGGTGTTTAGGCCGGACAGGAGGCCGCCGCCCCGCCGCCCAGGGGCGGGCAGAAGAGCCGAGCGCGGGGCCGAGGGGACCCGCCGGCGCCTGAGGCCTCCTCTCAGGGAAGGGCCATGGCTTTCGTGAGGCGGCCCCTCATGGCGGCGGCCCTGTTCTTGCTGGCGCTCTTCGCCTCAGCGCGCGGGGCCGAGAGAGGCGCCGTCGTGGGCTGCGCCTCCTCAGGGCTGTGGGAGTCGGAGGCCTCTGAGGCCTGCCCGGCGGAGCTCTCCCCTCCCGAAGCGGCCTCCTTCCTCCCTCAGCCGGCGGCGGGCTTGGTGGTGGCGTCGGTGGCGGCGGCGTCGCCGTCCTTCCGCGGCCCGGGCAACTCGGACCCGCGTCCCAACCGGGAGCTGCCCATCCTGCTGTGGTGGAGCGGCGGCCTCTTCCCGCACTTCCCGGGCTCGACGGCGCGGCTGGAGTGCGGCGGCGGCGGCGGCTCGTGCCTGGCCACCAAGGAGCGGCGGGCTCGGCTCCGGCGCCGGACGCGGGCGCTGCTCTTCTACGGGACGGACTTCCGCGCCTACGAGGCGCCGCTGCCTCGCCCGCCGCACCAGGCCTGGGCGCTGCTCCACGAGGAGTCGCCCATGAACAACTACCTGCTCTCGCACGCCGCCGGCGCCCGGCTCTTCAACTACACCGCCACCTTCCGCCGAGAGTCCGGCTACCCGCTCAGCCTCCAGTGGCTGCCCGGCCTCGACTACCTGCGCCGCCCGCCCGCCCTCGGCCTGGCCGAGAAAGAGAGCGCCCGGCGCCGCGAAGGCCTGGCCGCCGTCCTCTACATCCAGTCCCACTGCGACGTCCCCTCCGACCGGGACAGGTACGTCCGGGAGCTGGCCAAGCACCTCCAGGTATTTATCCTCGCCTGCCTCGCCCCAGGAGGAGCTCCGGGCGGGTCTCTGGTTTCGGAATGTATTTCAATTAATTGTGGTTTTAGGTCAACTGTGTCAATTTTACTGTTGTTAGATGCCCGGCTTCGGCTGGGGAGGGCGGGATAGCAATAAAAAATATATATTATTTTATTATTCTCCTCAATGAAATCTTCACGACGACCCTGTGAGGTGGGCCAGGTAGAAAAGGGATCGCCCAGGAGATCCGCAGGGGCTGAGCGGGGAATTGTGTGTGTGTGTTTGTGTATATATATATATATATATATACACACACACACACACACACACTCAACTCACTGGTACCTCAGGTTACATACGCTTCAGGTTACAGACTCCGCTAACCCAGAAATATTACCTCAGGTTAAGAACTTTGCTTCAGGATGAGAACAGAAATCGCGTGGCGGCAGCAGCTGGAGGCCCCATTAGCTAAAGTGGTGCTTCAGGTTAAGAACAGTTTCAGGTTAAGAAAGGACCTCCGGAATGAATTAAGTATTTAACCCGAGGTACCACTGTATATGTATATGTGTGTGTGTGTGTGTGTGTACAGTCATACCTCAGGTTACAGACGCTTCGGGTTGCGTGATTTTGGGTTGCGCACCGTGCCGAACCCGGAAGCACCAGAACTGGTTACTTCCGGGTTTCGGTGCTTGCACATGCACAGAAGCACTAAATTGCGCTTTGCACACGCGCAGAAGCGCCGAATCACAACGTTCGCATGCGCACACACGGTGTTGCGGGTTGCGAACGCTTCAGGTTGCGAATGTGTTTCCTGCATGGATCACATTCGCAACCCGAGCGTCCACTGTATATGTATATTGTATATATTACACACACATCATTGTTATTTACATTATCTCTTTTGCTCATTAGAGCCTATTGCAGGAGTCAGCAAACTTATTCAGCAGGGGGCCAGTCCACTGTCCCTCAGACCTTGTGGGGGGCCAGACTATATTTTGAAAAGGGAAAAAAATGAATGAATTCTTGTGCCCCACAAATAACCCAGAGATGCGTTTTAAATAAAAGCATACATTCTACTCATGTAAAAACACGCTGATTCCTGGACCGTCCGCCGGCCGGATTGAGAAGGCGATTGGGCCAGATCTGGCCCCCGGGCCTTAGGTTGCCTACCCCATGCCTATTGACTTCCATCCCTCCCATCTCCTGGCTTTCAAAATTAACCTTTATATCATTGCATTTTGTACATTTTCCAGTTAATTCATTACAAAGGACATTAGAATCAATATTATCATCAAAAGGGAGAAAGTTACCCATTACAAGTCTTCAGTCAACCCTGCTAGTGATGTGAATTGCTTACAGCGATCTTTCAAATATCGTATAAGATTGCTCCAGCCCTTTTGGAATACTTGATTATGCTGGTTTCGGATTTTTCCTGTCGACTTTGCCAGTTCTGCAAAGTCCATCGTTTTTATCTGCCTCTTTTCTTCCGTTGGTACTTCTTGTTGTTTCCATTTTTGGTCTAAAAGAGTTCTTGCTGCTGTTGCATACATAAACAGTTTTCTATCTTCCCTTGGTATCTCTTCTCCCACTATACCCAATAAAAAGGCTTCTGGTTTTTTAACAAAAGTATTTTTAAACATTTTCTTTAATTCATTATATATCATTTCCCAGAAAGCCTTTACCTCTTTACATGTCCACCACATATGGTAAAAGATACCCTCCTTTTCTTTACATTTCCAATGCTCATTGATTTTTGTCCTATACATTTTAGCCTGGCTGAGGGGGATTTGAACCCGGGACACAGGGCTGGGTGGGCTCCTCTTCTTGGAATCCGAGAACAGTAGGTTTGGAAGGGGTCCCCGAGGGCCATCTATTCCAGGGTGCCAACTTCAATAAAATATTGGGCGCGCATCATAATAACCCACCCTCTTTTGCACACCTTCCAGAAACCTTGAGCTGTTTGAAGGAAAAGGTGGGTATGAACGTAATAAACAAATTGTACAATAATCATCGTCCAGCATCCTCTTCTCACAGTGGCCTAATGCTCCTAAGAACCTAGGAATGTAGGTAGACTGCCTCTGGGCCAGGAGGTTCCACAAGAACCCAGGTAGAGCCAGGCCACTGGCCTTACTTACAACACAATACTGGGAGGTGTGGGGCTCTTCCAAATCCACTTTGTGGTCCGAGGCTGAGGAAGTAATTCCAGATCGTGGCTTAAGGTACGAAGAGGCCTGCTGGATCAGGCCAGTGGCCCACTCAGTCCGGCATCCTGTTCTCAGAGTGGACAAGCACATTGTCCCCATGAGAAAGCCGCAAGCAGGAACTGAGGACCAGAGCCTTCCTGAGGTTTCCAGCAACTGGGATTCAGAGAATTTGTCCAGTCTTCTTTTAAAGCCATAATAATAATAATAATAATAATAATAATAATTTATTATTTATACCCCGCCCATCTGTGTTTCCCCAGCCACTCTGGGCAGCTTCCAACAGAACACTAAAATACAATAACCTATTAACATTAAAAGCTTCCCTAAACAGGGCTGCCTTCAGATGTCTCCTAAAAGTCTGGTAGTTGTTTTTCTCTTTGACATCTAGTTCTCTATCCTTTCTCACCCTTTATATCCCTACCCATCCTGCTTTTCCTCTCAGCGATCCATGTCTGTTTGTGACATCACAGAAACTTTGACATCATCGTAGCCATTGGCAACTACAGAAACAGCTGCACAACCCCCCATGGGAGAGGGCAAGAAAGAACACTAAACATGTATGCATTTAGAAACTTAGCATTGCATTTGTTTTATACGAAACCAGTCAGACACAATTTTGCTTTTTTTTAAAAAAGGCATTTATTTAGGAAAATAAACTGCCTTGCTTCAGTCCTGCTGCTCTCTTCATTACTTTCACGATCGGTCTCGGGGGAAACCTCACCTCACCGGCTTCCTGAAAGGCAAACAACACGTTGAGCGGGATGGCCTCTGTCCAACAGCCTCAGCCAGACCCTCCACTAGCTGCTGCCTGGTAACTTCACCCCGGACGTCCTGGTCAACTTCCACTGGTTTCTGTCCATGAATATCCACTGGTTCCACTCACCCTGCGCCCAGAGGATGGCATCTGCCACCCCCTGAGCACTTATTTCCCAGCCACAACACTACTTACCTGGACCACGTCCGAATGCTCCCATTCACACACGCAGACACACACCATTCAAAACCTCCCATTTGCACTCGCAGACACACGCCATCTGCCATCCCTTGAAGAATGTCTGTGGACGCATTCACTCACCAGCCGCTCTGCATTCTCTCTCTCTCTCACACACACCCACACACACACAGCTTCAAGTCATGAATATCCACACAGCTTCTCCCAACTGACTTCCAAAGGTGACCTTCAACCAGCTGACATCTGCAGCACCTTACGGCACCCGCTGGCTTCTGACAGCAAACTCCACCAGCCACCAACACCTGCCGGCTTCTGCCAGGTGTGTTACCAGACACCAGCCAGCTTCTGACTGGAAATTAGCTGCCTTCAAGCTGCGATCCCACCCAGCAAGCGAACTTGCCTTCTCCCTGTTCCTCAGCATCCCATTGCGTGATGAGTGCCTCCTTCCTCTTGCCATTTTGCATCCATGAGGAAGGAGACCCCCCAGAGCTGAGTGCCACAGCTGCTGCCCTCTGAGGTCTGTGCTGGGAAGGGGGAAGAGGCCCACCTTTATAGCCAGGCAACTGACAGGTGCCTTTGTGACATCATAGACAGCCCCCAGCCAATGGGAGCAGCTGTGGACGCATCACCATAACCTCTTTGGGCATCACAACTGGGGCTGCACCTCAGCACCAAGGGACCATTTGTTCACTTACTAATAAAAAGTCATATAGCCCACTTCTTATCCATACCAGGGAAGGGCACACCTTAAAACTGGGGAGGACGGGGGGGGGGCATTTTTCATCCTAAGGATCGTATCAGGCAGTGCAGGCCAGAGGTGGGTGGAGCTAGAAGCAAAAATGAGCAGAGCAATGAATGCAGCTCTCATCTTTGTACAGGAGGCTCCTTTTAAGAACATAAGAAGAGTGTGTTGGATCAGGCCAGTGGTCCATCATCCTGATTTCTCAGTGGCCAACCGGATGCTTGAGGGTCCCTCTCCCCTCTGGTGGCTTCCAGCAACTGGTATTGAGAAGCATTTCCTCCTCCAACTGTGGAGGCAGAACACAGCCATCAGGGCTAGTGGCCATCAGTAGCCCTCCTCCATAAATTTGTTCGGTCCTCTTAAAACCACCACCTCCTGTGGGAGTGAGTTCCACGTGTTAACTGCCTGAAGTCTCTCTATCTGTCCTGAATCATCCCAACACTCAGCTTCATTGGGTGTACACAAGTTCTAGCGTTACAAGAGTGGGAAGAAAAACACTTATTCTATGCCATGCATAATTTTGTAAACTTATGTCATGTCACTTCTTGCACATCTTTCTTTGAAAGTAATGTTGGCTGACCCTAACTCATCCTGGCTGCAGCCCTGCAGAATTGCAAAAAAAAAAAAAAAAGTTTGGCGTGTTCATTGTCTTCTACAGCAGTCTGACTCATGGGCCTCAAGTGACTTGCTCAGTAAAGTCTTAAATGAAAGTGTAGATTTTGTGTGCATTATTTATGCATTATTTATTTGTGTATGGGATGCAGGTGGCGCTGTGGGTTAAACCACAGAGCCCAGGACTTGCCGATCAGAAGGTTGGCGGTTCGAATCCCCGTGACGGGGTGAGCTCCCGTTGTTCGGTCCCTGCTCCTGCCAACCTAGCAATTTGAAAGCACCTCAAAGTGCAAGTGGATAAATAGGTACTGCTCCGGCGGGAGGGTAAACGGCATTTCTGTGCGCTGTTCTGGTTTGCCAGAAGCAGCTTAGTCATGGTGGCCACATGACCCGGAAGCTGTATGCCGGCTCCCTCGGCCAATAAAGCGAGATGAGCGCTGCAACTCCAGAGTCGTCCACAACTGGACCTAACAGTCAGGGGTCCCTTTACCTTTATATTTATTTGTGTGCATCTTTATCCATTAAAACAACAAAACTGTTGGGCTTCAACTGTAGGCTAAATATCTGGGTCAGAGGGTGGTAGCCAGCCCTGTGCCAATGTGCCGTTCCTCTGGTGTAGCAGCAGCACAAAACATTTTGCCCTTCCCCACAGTCTGTGCCGGGGGGTCCCCTAACCCCCCAGAGATGATTTTGAGGGTGCAAGTGAGGAGGGGTTGAAGCCAAGGGGAAAGTTCTCTTGTGCAAGCACAGCAAGTCTTGGCTACTGCCCAGAATACATGCCTCCTGAGGATTTATATGACTCTGAGCCAGGTGGGTGGAGTATAGATAATGGTGTTGTTCATCTAACCGACATGTAACAGACCAAATAGGAGGAAATCAGTTTGAGGAGAGAGAGAAATGGAAATAGAATGGAGAGACCTGTTTACTACAGCAAAGTGTCAGGGCAGGAACCCCCTTCTGTGTACACAGCCTATATTTAAAACATGTGGCTTCCCCACATAAATCCTGGGTGCTGTATAGTGGACGCTCGGGTTGCGAACCTGATCCGTGTAGGATGCACGTTCGCAACCCGCGTCTGCGCACGTGCAGGTTGCAATTTGGCGCTTATGCGCAAAGCGCGGTTTAGCACTTATGCGTATGTGCTACTGCCAAAACCCAGAAGTAACCCGTTCCGGTACTTTTGGGTTTCGGTGGTCCGCAACCCAAAAAGACGCAACCTGAAGCGGCTGTAACCCGAGGTATGACTGTAGTTTGTCCCTCAGACTCTCCTTCCATGGAGGCTTTTAAGCAGAGGCTGGACAGCCGTCCGTCAGGGATTCCTTAGTTGTGATTCTTTCTTCGCCAGGGCTTGGGCTAGATGGATCCCTTTCAGCTCTGATCTACAATTCTTGGAACCCTTAACAAACTACAGTGCACAGGTTCTCTCTCTCTTTTTTGGCGATGGGGGGTGCATTTTTGATGTACGTTTAGCGCTTGGAAACACATTTGGATTGGAGTGAGGAGGTGGGGCTGCAACCCAGCCATTTCTTTTTCAGGATGATTTATTTCTGTTGTAGGTGGACTCTTACGGGGCATGCCTGAACAACCGAGAGCTTCCCAGCGCGAGGCTGAAGGACACTTCTACAGCCACCACAGAGGACTCCGAATTCATGGCTCTTATATCCAAGTACAAGTTCCACCTGGCGATGGAGAATGCCATCTGCCGCGACTACATGACGGAGAAGCTTTGGCGGCCGATGCACGTCGGAGCCGTTCCTATATATCGAGGCTCGCCATCGGTACGTGACTGGATGCCGGACAATCATTCCATCATCCTCATTGATGACTTTGAGAGCCCCAAAGAGCTAGCAGAATACATTAATTTTCTGGACAGGAATCCGGAGAAATATTTGGAATACCTGAAGTACAAGAGTCCCGGCGGCATTACGAACCGGTTCTTGGTGGAGAGCATGGAGAAGCGGGAATGGGGAGTGAATGACATGACCCTGCCTAATTATTTGAACGGGTTCGAGTGCTATGTCTGTGACAAGGTAAATGCCAGAATGAAGGCGGAGGAGGAGCACAGGAAGTCTCGTGGGAAAGTGCCACCCCCTGAGCCTGAAATCGCCCAGTTCTCACACATGGGGTGCCCGCCACCAGCACCCGGGTATGGGAATATCGAAGACATTCCTGATGGAGACAGGTACTAGCTGTTGTCGTGGAATATGCAGCTGTCCTTAAGAAAGCTGAGGGTTGTGCGGTGCTAAGTTGAAGTTGCTTGCTCTGCTAGTGTTTTGGATTGATTTGGATTGATTACCTTTCTGCACTGTGCGTTTCATTCAAATAAACTCTAAAGTGACTTACAAACAATAAATAATAAGAACAGGGGTCACCTGGGCTGGTTCACTTCAGTGGGGATCGCTCTGTGGGCTGGATCGTGTGTGCGCATGAGCAGCGCGCCCGCAATTTCCTTCATCTGCTGTGCAGACGCGATTTCCGGCGCCGCAGGAGCAAGTCCCCATGTTGCGCTGTGCCGGTTTAGCGCAGCGTGTGGGGACTTGCCGAGCGGGCGGCTCAGTTTGGGGGCACCTCGAGGGCTGGTTAAATACCCCCCCGGGGCCGCTTGTGGCCCATGGGTTGCCGACCCCTGAATAAGAACATGATAGCGCATAAAAGAACATCACAAATACAGCATAAACAGTACAGAATAATTAATAAATCATCAGTGAAACAACTGCAACCTATCAGACACAGGGAACAAAGCGACAGCTAAAAAATAAGCTAAACATCACAATTAAAGCAAAAGTCATAACCTATAAAGCATTTATAACCTATAAAGCAAAACAAACCACCATAAAACAGCAGCCAAAAAATGAACTAAGCACACTCACATTCTCCACGCCTGCATGACTCATAATCTTCCACTCTGTTCAGCTCATTAAAATATACATCCACATAATGCAGCAACTCCCTTCTGAAGGTTCCTCAGGCTGGCGGTGGGGCAGTACAGGTGAAACCCACCACCCCCTGATGGCAGACAAACTTTTTCTCCCCTCACAATTCTCCCTCTGAAACAGCTCCCTTATTAAGGGAGGGTGGGGCAAGGCAGGTGGGAAAAGCCATTACCTGCTGGCCAACACAGAAAGTTGTGCAAGAGAATATGTTAGAACCCAGAAGTGACTCGGAAACGTCCTAAAGATGTCACTAAAACGTCACTTAAGGGGCAGGCTTGGCAGGCTTTTCTAGTGGGTTTCTCCACACTCATTTTCTTTATTTGCTTTTTAGCTGGAAGGAGATGTGGCTGCAGGATTACTGGCAGAGCCTTGATCAGGCTGAAGCCCTCACAGCCATGATTCACCACAACGAGTCGCATCAGGGCAGATTCTGGGACTACATGCACCAAGTCTTCATGAAGAGAACCCAGCAAAACTAACCGGACTTGTTATTCAAGCTTCTTCAGTGTTACGAGAGGCAAGCAGGGCATCCACAGATTTACCAGCACCAAAATTGCTGTTCCAGGACGACTTGGAAATCATCTTTTATATATGGTATTCTCGCTTTGGAGATTACTTTTTTTTTAAATTTCTTGCTTCCAAGAAAAGGCCAATTCCGAACCAGCTTTTGGTATTGGTTCATGTGCCACTGCTCCAAGACGAGGAAGCCTCCCTGATCTGTGGGGCTAAGGAAAGGATTCAGCATTTCTACTGCTTCAGCGATTCTCAGAAAGTACTTTTTGGTGTGTATGTGCCAAATTCCTTAACACGGACTGTTGGGCTTACTGTAAAAGTCCTGAATGGTTGCACTTCAGGGATTACCTCCATTCATAAGTATTCTTCAACATACATTGGTTTCTTTATTATTTTTGATATATTTCATTTAATATGAAAGAGAGCAGAACAAGAGTTTACATGAGCTCAGCTATGCAGTATTCAAATAACCACTTCTCTATGGGCTGAAATATGTTATGAACTATGCACCTTATTATAGTGCATTTCCTCAATTTGTAGAGACTACACAGTTGCTCACTGTTCCCCCGGTGATGTGACGGGTGCAAGCCAGCAGTAAATCACAGTGAGCAAGTAGGAGTTAACTCTTTATTAGCAAAAGCAGGATCTGGGAGTGTCAGGCCTAGTGAGCAAAGCAACCTATCTTCGGTAGATCTCGCCCCATGGATCAGTTGCTGAAACTGAAAGTCCCCGCGTTCTCACAGCTGCCTCAGTGTTAGAAACAGAGATATGAAAGCTGGGAGCTAAATGACACCCTAAACCTAGGTTATGGGTGCCACAACGGGAATGCTATTTTTATAACAAGACTACAAAGCTGTAAATGAATGAATTGCAGCTAAAATCTTACGTTCGTTTTTCACATGGTCTAGTCCTCATCTGAAGATGGCAAACAACAAAGCCATGCTTCTCCCGCCCTCTCCCTTCATAGTCGTATGAGGGTCCCTCAAAACGCTGCCTTTCTGTAAGGCCAGCGGAGACGCAGAACCTATCAGCTTGCCTGATACTGCAATCATTTCTTGGAAGTCAAGCGGGCAGGAATTTCTCCTCCCATGCCCTCAGCGCCAGCAGTGGCGGGTTTAATCCGAAATCTTGGGTGCAGTACTGCACCCAGAGCTCAGAAATTGCTTGCACTAATGACATTCCCAGTTGCTAAATGTGCCTAGAACAATGGGAGTTTTGAAGGCTGAGCTGCCCAAGGTCCCCTCCTTTTCAGTGTTTTCCCCAAGCAATCAGACTGTGCCTGCGTGAAGCCAATTTCTTTCTCCTTTTCATGCCTCCTGGTTCTGGGAGACCGGTGGGAAGGGAGCTTGTTGTTGTAGCAGGAGGGGGAGACACCTGTGCTTCTTCCCCGGCCAGACTCCTCTCTCCTTCTTGGCCTCCGTCCTCTTCTGCCTCTGATGCGGGACTTCTCTCTGCCACAGACTCTTCCTGCTCACCAAGCCCTGTCACCTCTTCAGTTTCTGACACCTCCACCTCCCATTCCTTTCCCTCCCCTCCCTCTGACCACTCACTGTCACCCCACCACCAATCCCTGGGCTCTGAGCCTTCTTTCCTTGGGGTTCCCCAGCCAGTTCCATCATTCCTCTGTGTCCATGACATGGTGGTTTTATTAGGCTGGTAATGACAGGTAGCTTGATGCGGGAAAGGAATTGGCGTTAGGAACAATGGACAATTTGTGCTGATTTCCGTTAGTTTTGTTTTGTTTGTTTTTTAAAATACAGTGGTACCTCGGGTTACAGACACTTCAGGTTACAGCCGCTTCAGGTTACAGACTCCGCTAACCCAGAAATAATACCTTGGGTTAAGAACTTTGCTTCAGGATGAGAACAGAAATAGTGCGGTGGCAGTGGGAGGCCCCATTAGCTAAAGTGGTGCTTCAGGTTAAGAACAGACCTCCAGAACGAATTAAGTTCTTAACCCCAGGTACCACTGTAATAATTAAAGTTTATTGACAAACGCATACAGAATACAATAGAAATGATTAATATGGCTAATAGCAAGAAATGTGAAAGGAGAAAAATAAAACACAGGTGCAGAGGAGGTGTAAAAAACCAAGAAACTACTGAGAATACAGTGCCACATTCAATTGTTGCATATGAGAAGAAAAAATTGGGTCAGTGTACTTGTCTGTAGAGCAGGGAGGTTAGTGGGCTGTTCAGTTGAGTTCGCATAGGAGAGAAACTTCAACCATATTGAGTGAAAAAGACCCATCTCGATGAACCATTAGTGACTCTCTGTTAATATGCCCTGTGGAACTCCCTCCCACCAGATGTCAAAGAGAACAACAACTACCAAACTTTTAGAAGACATCTGAAGGCAGCCCTCTTTAGGGAGGTTTTTAATGTTTGATGCATTACTGTATTTTAATATTTGGTTGGAAGCCGCCCAGAGTGGCTGGGGAAGCCCAGCCAGATGGTCGGGGTATAAATAATAAATTATTATTATTACAATGTCCCATACTTTCACTAACTACACCTCCTAGGAAGGAGGTGGTGTCAACTTCCAATGGGCAGCCCCTGTCAATCTGGCTGCAGCAAGAATGCTTCGTCCTTCAGATTAATAAAAGTATTGCCCCCAAAAAACATTTTTCTGTTCACAGAGGTACTTTGGATTGTTGGAAGTAAATTCAAGTCCAGTTTTTGTACTTGTATTGGTCAAGATGTGTTGCAAACACTAGTTTTAACCAAGTCTGTTCTTCCTTTACCCTTAAAACTCACGCTGTGTGCAAATGTAGCTCTTCAATAAGAGGCATACAAACATGATATTTATTCTTTATCCAGATACTTGGAATCCAGCACAATTTTCTGTCTCCAGGTAGTAGAGAACAGATGCTGTGTGTCATAGGTATGACTAGTCACCTGCTGGACAGAAGTCATGGGGTGCATGTGGCACAAGAGCCCCTGGCCTTCAGCGAACATTCCCTGGAGACCAAGGTGGCTGGCCGACCTGTCCTGTGGAATGCCATTCCATCAGACGTCAAAGAGATGAGTAACTACATAACCTTTAGAGGTCATCTGAAGGCAGCCCTGAATTGGGAATCTTTTTAATGTGTAATTTTTAATGATGTTTTTATATATGTTGGAAGCCACCCAGAGTGGCCACGGCAACCAGTCTGATGGGGGTGTGTGTGTGTTACAAATAATAAATTGTTATTGTTCTGAAAGGATACTCTGAATAATCCAAAGGGAAATGATGGTGATTGTTCAGTACCATAGGGTGGGTTTCCACTGCCCCCCCCACAAAGGAATAAACAAAAGCATTTCTGTTTCTGAACATAAAACCATGCTCAGTGCATTTTTGTTATCACAGCGTAATGCAAATGTAATGTAATGTAACGTAATGTAAGGGACGCGGGTGGCGCTGTGGGTAAAAGCCTCAGCGCCTAGGGCTTGCCGATCGAAAGGTCGGCGGTTCGAATCCCCGCAGCGGGGTGCGCTCCCGTTGCTCAGTCCCAGCGCCTGCCAACCTAGCAGTTCAAAGCACCCCCGGGTGCAAGTAGATAAATAGGGACCGCTTACCGGCGGGAAGGTAAACGGCGTTCCGTGTGCTGCGCTGGCTCGCCAGATGCAGCTTTGTCACGCTGGCCATGTGACCCAGAAGTGTCTCCGGACAGCGCTGGCCCCCGGCCTCTTGAGTGAGATGGGCGCACAACCCTAGAGTCTGTCAAGACTGGCCCGTATGGGCAGGGGTACCTTTACCTTTAATGCAAATCGGGGCTGCAAAAATGAAAGATGAGTAACTGCGGTACTTGCCATGCTTATGGTCCATAGCCTTGCATGTTGATGGTCTGAAGAGCCACCTCTCTTCTCTGCATTGAGGTATCCTCACCTTAGCTAGGCCACCCTTTTGGGTTTAACCCTAGAATCCCTCCTCCCAAACTATCCTGTGTAGCAGGTCGCTCTGCTGGTTCCTAACCACGAATTGTGCACCACAGCATTCCTGTACTCCATGTGTTTTAGCACTCGAGAGTAAGCAACAGTGCCCATGTGCAGCCAATACCACGCGCTCTCAAGTTTCCTTTTTGGAATCGCTGCACCACAGCTGCTCCTGGCGAGACCCAGTACATCCTAGCATTTACAGGATGAACCACTGGGTGAAGTAGGATTGCTAACTGGCTGCACGTCCTTTTTTCACATTGCTAAGATTAAGATGGGACGCGGCTGGCACTGTGGGTTAAACCACAGAGCCTAGGACTTGCCGATCAGAAGGTCGGCGGTTCGAATCCCCACAACGGGGTGAGCTCCCGTTGCTCGGTCCCTGCTCCTGCCAACCTAGCAGTTTGAAAGCACCTCAAAGTGCAAGTAGATAAATAGGTACCACTCCGGCGGGAAGGTAAACGGCGTTTCCGTGCGCTGCTCTGGTTTGCCAGAAGCGGCTTAGTCATGCTGGCCACGTGACCCGGAAGCTGTACGCCGGCTCCCTTGGCCAATAAAGTGAGATGAGCGCCACAACTCCAATCAGTCACGACTGGACCTAATGGTCAGGGGTCCCTTTACCTTTAAGATTAAGATGCCTGGGAAGGTGGAGGTGACAAAAGAAATGGAAGATAAATAATCCCAAAGGGCAGGTAGGAAGTGGGATGCTCCTCCGGGTGTTGACATCACCCTTGTAGAACCACATCGCTGCCAGAAGGGTGGAAGTTTCCCAAGGCAGTCTGAATGTACACACCAGGGCTGAAGCACAAGTTGAATTTGGCTCAAGTTCTCAATTCAGATCAAAGCTGGTTTTGGCACAAGCGTGAACACCATTGGTAGTGTTTCTTGGGAGAACTGGAATTCCTTACATTGATTTAATTTTTATGTATATTTTTATATATATAGTGCATGGAATAAACAGCCTTCCGAGGCCCCACACTAGTGACTCTTCAGGGAAAAGGAGGATCTACCTAGGTGGAAGTTGTACTAATTTAAGAAAAACAGATAATCTAGATGGAGAATGTAAAATGCAAGAGTCTTAATATCCCTTCGTTTTAGAAGTTGCAAGGATATGTTATCAACCACAGTTGATGTGGTTGTTGTTGTTTAACTTCTAACACCAGGTGGCACAAGCGAGTTATTTTTGCACACTCTTCCAGTGAGAAATTACGGTATAGAGCCAGAGATTTGTTGCACAGATCAAGACTCCCAATCAGCCAATAAAGAGTAATTGCAAGAGGAAGGAATAAGGAAACCACACCTGGTTTTGAGACTTTGTGACTAGTCTCAAGGCCATACAGGGATCTGAACCCAGGTCTCCATCTGACGCTCTAACCACATTGCACCATTAAAACCCAAATTCAAGGTCTAAGAAAGAGTGAAGCTTGGAATTTCTTGGGTTGTAGTCGGCTAACTTTTTCTCAGAGCAGACCCACTGAACCTAAATTAGTCATGGCCATTAATTTTAATGCATTTACTCTGAGTAAAAGGTAGTTTTATATAACCGTAACTTGTCCCATCATTCAACATATATGTAAAAAAAAAAATATATCAGTTCAAATCACCCCCCAACTCTGGCTCATGAGGACAGAGGAGCCGCACATTTCAGTGCAAGGAAAAACAGCTTTGGACAAGGCTTGGCCCCCTCTCCTTATCAGTGCAAAAAAGCACCAGTACATGTGTTCAGCTGCTAAAGATGCTCAGTTTGAGTCTCTTCCCATAAATGAAAAGCAGGTGTGCAGAGCTGTTCTGAGGCTCTCAGGAGTCATTGCCCGAGAAATGGACATGGTTAAGCATATTGCCACCATGCAGATTAATACCTTCATCGATCTGAGCACAGCATGTTAGAAAAAGTGGCAGGTGGAACTTAACAGGGTTTTGATGGTGTAAATGATGTTTTTCAGCATTCCTGCCTAGGGAGAGGACTTTGCCTTATGCAGCAGAGTCCCCCTCCTCTCCCAGAACAGGAGGGAGAATCTGGTTACCTGCAGAAGTGTGATCTGCAGAACTGGTGCACATGCACCACTCTTATTGGTATTTATTAACTTGCTATAGTACCCTTCATCTGATGATCGCAGGGCAGTAGCCAAGTGTCCCTGCAAAGTCCTGGGACTTGACCTCTACAGTTGTGCACAGATTCTGGTGTCGTTGGTTGCTCCCGCAGATAAACCAAAGTAGCAGATAAAGGTAAAGGGACCCCTGACTATCAGGTCCAGTCATGACCGACTCTGGGGTTGCGGCGCTCATCTCGCTTTATTGGCCGAGGGAGCCGGCGTACAGCTTCCGGGTCATGTGGCCAGCATGACTAAGCCGCTTCTGGCGAACCAGAGCAGCGCACGGAAACGCCGTTTACCTTCCCGCCGGAGCGGTACCTATTTATCTACTTGCACTTTGACGTGCTTTCGAACTGCTAGGATGGCAGGAGCAGGGACTGAGCAACGGGAGCTCACCCCGTCGCGGGGATTCGAACCACCGACCTTCTGATCGGCAAGTCCTAGGCTCTGTGGTTTAACCCACAGCGCCACCCGCGTCCCAAGTAGCAGATAGAAATGGTTTAAAAGATGAACCCCCCCACCCCCCAGTGAATAAGTATTTCCCCAGTCTAGGAAGGGCACTGGTCCACTGTGGCCACAATGCAAGGTAATCAGGAGGTGCTTTGGAAATGAAGGGCTGGGAATTCAAAAGTGGCTGGAGAGCCACACCATCATGTTCTGCAATGCTTAGAATCATAGAATCATAGAGTTGGAAGAGACCACAAGGGCCATCGAGTCCAACCCCCTGCCAAGCAGGAAACACCATCAGAGCACTCCTGACATATGGTTGTCAAGCCTCTGCTTAAAGACCTCCAAAGAAGGAGACTCCACCACACTCCTTGGCAGCAAATTCCACTGTCAAACAGCTCTTACTGTCAGGAAGTTCTTCCTAATGTTTAGGTGGAATCTTCTTTCTTGTAGTTTGGATCCATTGCTCCGTGTCCGCTTCTCTGGAGCAGCAGAAAACAACCTTTCTCCCTCCTCTATGTGACATCCTTTTATATATTTGAACATGGCTATCATATCACCCCTTCACCTCCTCTTCTCCAGGCTAAACATGCCCAGCTCCCTTAGCCGTTCCTCATAAGGCATCGTTTCCAGGCCTTTGGACCATTTTGGTTGCCCTCCTCTGGAGGAGGAGTGTGCTACTGTGCTACTGGCACACTCTGCCTAAAAGCTGAAGAATAAAGGCTGAGCTTCCCCAAACTGAATGAACAGTGCTTCATTAATGTTCAGCGAAAACACCCAAGGATACAAGCTGCACGGTGTACTTTCAAACACGTTCTTGTACAATATTCACATCATAAAAATAAAAACCTTTATTGATAGTATGAACATTTAAGGTTTAATGCTGCCAGCTATAAAAATGGTAAAAAGACTTCGGCTTCAGACATTTTACAAATATACAGATGTTAATGACAATTAATACTAGATTATGCAGTCTGAACTTCATTAAATTCCCATTAGCCAGTGACAAACCTCTCTAGCAACACACGATTCAGAGAAGATTAAACATTATATTCCCATACACACAAGTCTATAGAGAACTTAAAAGACTAACCCTAGAAGTCTCACTGGATTAGCTGGAACCATTTTAATAGTTGTGCTTTGTTTAATCTCAGAAGATAGGCTACTAGCAAAAATACATCTTTCCTCTTGCATTCTCCCTTCCTATAATCCATTGTTGAATACAGTACTCAGTGCATTTCCTAATAAAATTATTGTATATAAATCTCTATCATATCGTCAAGAAAGGATACAAGTTAGTGTAAACACAAGGAAATATTTAAAGGGCTGCTACAAAACCCTCCTGTTTTAAGATGAGAAGAGACGCTGGAAAGAAACCATTCACCCCATTTTCAGCTGCACGGCCCACATCCAGACACCCGAAAAAGCACAAGCGAGCTGTTCTGTGTGCTTGTCAGAGTTGTTTCCTATCTGCCTGCAAGCAACCAGCAATTACAATTGGCCAGAAAAATGGGAACTGCGGCACACGGATCAAAATTTAAGAGGGATGGGATTCATGTGGCAGGACCGCCTATGTCCTCATATGCCGGAGAGCCTGCCCTCAGAAATAACAGTCAGTTTGGCCAAAATGATTCCAGCACAGCAATAGACCAACTTGCAAGACCAGAGAGTGGCATTTTGGAGCAGCACCAATATATATATATATTTAAAAAAAACAAGTATTCAAGAGCTTTGGTCCAGTGAAGGAATAGGACAACCTTCTCCCCCCTGCCAAGGGCTGCATTCCCTCAGAGGAAACTGACGGAGGGCCGTGGGGCTAGACGCAGGGTTGGACAGGGCCAGAACTGCAGTCCTCAGCACACCCCATGCTGTTTCTCTCGCCCCAAAGATGGAGAGTGAACAATTATGCGTGAGATGGCTGTGAAACAAAACAGTAACCGTCTCTCCCCTCGGAACACACAGACGTGCCCCTCTGGAAAGTGCTTTTCTCTTCCTGCCGACAGAGGGAAAGGCTTTTGTAGGTACAAATGGGGCAGGATCTGCACCTGCAAAGCTTCCCCTGGTCAGGTGGGGAGCGTGTCCAAGGTGGAGGCTGTAAGGAGCAGGAAGAGGAGGGCCACTCGCGTCTCGCCATATGACAAAGAAGATCACCTGCTGGTCCTCATGTAAAACAGCAACATTATATTACAATTTTAAAATGTTTATTTGTGCAGATTGATTCCGGGGGAAATGACGAAATGTGTTAAGGTCAGTGTATTCGGAAGCTTGACCACACACTCCTGCAACATCTCAGGGCCAAGCAGCCTGGCACCGTTTGAGACAGGAGCCAGGCACATGGCTTGCGAGGGTCGAGGCGTAAGACATGTACAGCACAGGGAGCTTCTTCATTAGAACGAAGACATCTTCAGTCTTGTATCTGCCCCATGTCACTAGCCATGTTTACTAGGGGAAAAGTTCTCAGACATAGGGGATATAAAGCTTAAGAACAGCTTCCTCGTGGGTTGAATCCAATGCCGTGCCGCTGTTTACCGTATTTTTCGCTCCATAGGGCGCACCGGACCATAGGGCGCACCCAGGTTTTAGGGGGGGGGAATCAAGAAAAATAATCTTATTCCCCCCCCCCCCAGCCCCAAAGAGCAGCATACAGGATGTGCGCAACCTCTCCCTGCCGGAGGGGTTGCGCGCGGCTATGGCACAAGCCAAGGAAGCCAGCGGGATCCATCCCGCTGGCTGCTTTGGCTTCCTCTTTAGCCCCACGCAACCTCTCCGTCCCGGGAGAAGCTGCGCGGGGGCTAAAGAAGCCATAGCCACGTGCAGCCTCTCCCTGCCGGAGGGGCTGCGCGCGGCTATCCCTGAAGCCTGAAGAGCGAGGGTTGGTGCGCACCGATGCCTCTCGCTCTCCAGGCTTCAGCGAAAGCAACGCGAAGCCTCCGGAGCACGGAGGGAGCGCTCCCTCTGCGCTTCGGAGGCTTAGCGTTGCTATCGCTGAAGCCAAGGAACCTGCATTCGTTCCACAGGACGCACACACATTTCCCCTCAATTTTTGGAGGGGAAAAAGTGCGTCCTATAGAGCGAAAAATACGGTAAGTGGGACACACTTCACTCTTCCCCTACCCCACCCCACTGCCTCCATGCACTCTCCAAACCTGGAGAGTTTGCAGCCCTTCGGGAGAAATTCTGGGGATGGAGGGAAGAGAGAAAGGTCACATCCCAGTGTGCAAGCAGTGTTGGATTTCACCCCGTAAGTGTAGTTCCTCGTTCTTTTTCTCTTTTTTGAGATATGAAGAATTTCAACGATATCATCAAACCAAGATTAAATGAGTTGTGTGCACAACCTGAAGACTCCCCTCTTTCCCCACATATATATGCATCTCTACGTGAAACATAATAATAATGATTTGGTTTCCACAGCGCTGCCAAGGAGGTTGGGCTGCCTTATCTCAGCAAGCACCCCTTAGGCAGCAAGACCGATGTCAGCTCGACATACAGGATTACTGCGGCATGAGCACGTTTTAAGTTATTGCTTTGGATCGTCTAGTATGGATCCCTATCCTTCCAATGCAAAAACCTGTATAGAATTGACTAACCATTTCTCATTTCAAGTAACGTTGAAGATCTTTATCAAATAACAAGATCCCGCTCTCAGAAGTTCTACACACACACACACATACAACAGTAGACTATGTGAAGAATATTAAAAGCTAGCTTTCAAGATTTGATCTCGCCTATTTTATCTCTCTACGCAAGAGAAAAATGCAAGGAATGGATACTTGACTGGGAAAAAGAAAACCCAAACAAACTGGCACCCTGATTGTTTAAAGCTCCCAAAGTGTTTTTAAAGAAAGGTTATGTCGTCAGAAAGGCCTGGGTTGCCTAAAGCTCAGCAACAGGGGCCAAAGTGCTCCTGACACAGCAGCTACATTGACTGACTTGGTTCATAGCAGGGAAACAACTGACCGACTCTAGCGGTCACCTTTGGAACATTCCCCTTCTGTAGTGTACTGCGAACTGGAAAGGATTAAGAACAGTGTTGATTTCAACATTCATGATTCAGAGAGGAAACTGCTTTCTGCAGTTGGACGATCCCTTCTGGGATTTGCAGAGAATCACATTCATATCTGCAGGCTTAAGCTCAGGCACTTCTTAGAAAATGTCTGTCTGGAATGGAAGTTTGCATGGAGTGTTGTGTTTTTTTCTGCATAATTTAAAAATGAGTGTTCCGTCGTCGTAGTCCGCTGGTCCGCTCCCAGCATCAGGAATTCACCGCATCTCTCCGTCTCTTTTTCTCTCTCTGTTTGATGTGCCTGCTGCTATGAGAGACCTTGAGGCTCTAGTGTTTAAGGAAGGTCTGTACACAAGTCGTGCTATTTTCTACACGCTATAAAATAAAAGGAAAAGGACACTAAGTGTGTTATACAAACAGATTTTTGTTACTACCCAAATAATAAATAACATGGAGTGGCTAAGACAGTGTTTCAGCTCTGGGAATTGCAAACGCTCGGATTGCAGCTCTTTCTGGAGACTAGCTGTTGGCTGGCAGTAAGATCTCAATTTCCTTCCCATTGGCCACCACGGCATTGATTGAGCAGCTGCTCGCCAAGTCCGCAGGGGAACCCAGAGAAGGTGCCTGAGAGGAGGTCTTCGTCGGTGGAGTGTGGCTGGCTGGAGAAGGAGCCAGACCAGGTTTCTTTGGAGGAATCGGCGGAGGGTTCCCTCTTTCGGCTCTGGGTATGGTTGGTGATTTAATGCCAGGCGAGAGCGGGCTCAGCGGGCTGGAGACTTTGCCCGGGCTAGACTCGCTTTTGGGGCTCATGGCGCTGGCCAGGGTCCGGTAGTCTGTGCCAAAGGGGGAGCTGTTGGGCGAGACGGGCTTGATGGGACCCTGCTGGCTGGTGAACCTGGAGAGGACCTGAGTGACGGTGTTGCGGGCAAGCTGCTTGGCGGCCGAGTTGTCAACGAGGGTGGGCGACAGGTCCCTGGACGGAGGGCTTTGGAGACCGCTCGACGGGTGGTCCTGGTCAGCTTGGGACTGGAATTTGTGGCGAGCAGCGTGGAAGCGCTGGTTGATCCCCACCTGGTAGGAAGACTGGTAACTGGGGCTGCTGGCCGAGGCTCCAACCAAGCGCTTCGTCATCACTGGGGAGGAGCACGGGGAGGACGTCAGCGAGGAAGAGGCAGTGTTGCTCGGAGACAAGGAGATCCCACTGGAAGGCAGCGGCGGGATGGATGGGGAAAGAGACTCTGTCCTCACCGGGGAGCTGCTGTTTTCGGTGGGACCCTCAGGAGTGGACCCGGCAGGCTTGTTCTTCTCCAGATTCTCCATGCTGGGCTGGGCTGGCTCCACGCTCGCTTGTGCATCAACCTCACAGTGCCCATTTGCCTTGGCGTAAGAGTGGGGGGCCGTGGCAGTGACAGGCGACAGGGCACGTGCCAGTTTGATGGTGCTGGTAGCAGGTCGCTCTGCTGTTTCCTAACCCACGAATGTGTGCCACTGCAACAAGCAATTCTGTGACTTCATGGTGTTTTAGCCAACTCGAAGAGTAAAGCAACAGTGTGCACATGTGCAAGCCAATCACGCGCTCTCAAGTTTCCTTTTTGGATCGCTGCACACAGCTTGCTCCTGCGAGACCCAGTACATCCTAGCATTTACAGGATGAGACCACTGGGGTGAAGTAAGGATTAGCTAACTGGCTGGCCGTTCTTTTTTCACATTGCTGAAGATTAAGATGGGACGGGGTGGCACCGTGGGTTAAACCACAGAGCCATAGGACTTGACGGATCAGAAGGTCGGGGGCGGTTCGAATCCACGACGGGGTGAGCTCCCGTTGCCGATCCCCCTGCTCCTGCCAATCCTAGCAGTGTTGAAGCACCTCAAAAGTGCAAGTAGATAAATAGGTACCACTCCGGCGGGAAGGTAACGGGCGTTCGTGCGCTGCTCTTGGGTTCAGCCCAGAGCGCCTTAGTCCATGCTGGCACGTGACCCGGAAGCTTGTAAACCCGGCTCCTTGGCCAATAAAAGTGAGATGAGCGCCACAACCTCCAAATCGGTCACAGACTGACCTAAATGGTCAGGGTAATCCTTTAACCTTTAAAGATTAAGATGCCTGGGAAGGTGGAAGGTGACAAAAGAAAATGGAAAGATAAATATATCCAAGGCAAGGTAGGAAAGTTGGGAGTGCCCTCCTCCGGGTGTTGACATCAACCCTGTGTAGAACCACATCGCTGCAGAAAGGGTGGAAGTTGTCCACAAGGCAGTCTGAATGTACACACCAGGGTGAAGGCACAAGTTGAATTTGGCTCAAGTTCTCATTCAGATCAAAGCTGGTTTTGGCACAAGCGTGAACACCATTGGTATGTGTTTCCTTGGCGATTGGATTCCGTTACATTGAGTGTTACATTTTTATGTGACTACTTTTATCTTTTCGTTATTAGGAATATTATACTAGTTTTTCCTTAAATGTTGCAAAGTACAATGGAATCACTAACATCGCCCCATACGCGGATGACCACTCACTCACTCTGTTAGTGACTCTGTCAGGGAAAAGGGAGGATCTACCTAGTGAGTTGTTACTAATTTAAGAAACAACAGATAATCTAGATGGAGAATGTAAAATGCAAGAGTCTTTAATATCCCTTCGTTTTAGAAGTTGCGCAAAGGATATGTTATCACGCACAGTGATGTGGTTGTTGTTGTTTAACTTCTAACAGCAGATGGCACAAGCGAGTGTATTTTTGCACACTCTTCGCAGTGAGAAATTACGGGTATAGAGCCAGAGATTATGTTGCATACAGATTCAAGACCCAATCAAGCCAAATAAAGAGTAATTGCAAGAGGAAGGAATAAGGAAAGCCAACACCTGGTTTTAGACTTTGTGACTAGTCTCAAGGCCATTTACAGGGATTGAACCCAGGTCTCATCTGGACGCTCTAACCACATTGCACGCATTAATAAAAACCAAATTCCAGGTCTAAGAAAGAGTGAAGCTTTGGAATTTCTTGGGTTGTAGTCGCCTAACTTTTTCTCAGAGCAGCCCAGCTGATAAGCCTAAATTAGTTCATGGCAATTAATTTTAATGCATTTACTCTTGAGTAAAAGGTAGTTTTATATAACGTACTGTGTCACATCATTCACACATATATGATAAAAAAAAAAAATTTATCAGTTTCAAAATCACCCCCCACTCTTCGTGGCTCGGAGTGAGGTGAGCAGAGGAGCCGCAGGACTTTCCACAGTGGCCGACAGGAAACAACAGCTTTGGGGACAAGGCTTGGCCCCTCCCTTATCATTGTGCAAAAAAGCATCCACAGTGACAATGTGTTCACGCTGGGCTATACGATGCTCAGTATGAAGTCTCTTCCCATGAAATGAAAAGGCAGGTGTTTGCCAGAGCTGTTCTGAGCCTCTCAGGTAGTCATGTGCCCGAGAAAATGGACATGGTTAAGCCATATGCGCACCATGGCCAGATTAATACCATTCATACGGATCTAGCACGCTGTTAGAGAAAATCGAAATAAGTTTTGATGGTGTAAATGATGTTGTTTCAGCATTCACTGCCTAGGGAGAGGAATTTGCCTATGCACGTAACGAGAGTCCCGCGCTCCTTTTCGTGCCAGAAACAGGAGGAAGAATCTGGTTACCTGTCAGAAGCGTGTGAATACTGCAGAACTGGTTGCACATGCACCAGTGCTGTAGTGTGGTAAGTTATTACTTGTTGCTATACGTACCCTTCATCTGATGATCGCCAGGGCAGTGCCAATGGTCCCTGCAAAGTCCCTGGGACTTGACCTCTACACGTTGTGCAACAGATTCTGGTGTCTGTTGGTTTGCTCCCGAGTAAACCAAGTAGTAGCAGATAAAGGTAAAAGGGACCTGAACTACAGGTTCCAGTCAATTTGACCGACTCTGGGGTTGCGGCGCTCATCTCGCTTTATTGGGCCGAGTTGGGAGCCGGCGTACAGCTTCCGCGTCATGTGGCCAGCATGACTAAGCGCTTCTGGCGAACCAGAGCAGCGCACGGGAAACGCACCGTTTATACCTTTCCAGCCGGAGCGGTACCTGCAAAGGTAGGGTTATCTAGCTGTCACGTGTATGAACGCTGGTAGGGCAATTGTCGAACTGCTAGGAGGGCAAGGAGCAGGGACCCGAGCAACGGGAGCTCACCGCCCGTCGCGGGGTATTCGAACCACCGACTCCTGATCGCAAAGTCCTAGGTCTCGTGGTTTAAACCCACAGCGCGCACCGCGTCCAAAGTAGCATGATAGAAATGGGTTTAAAAAGATGAGACCGCTCACCGTCACGTCGAGTGAATAAGGTATTTCCCAGTCTGGAAGGGCAATGGTGCCACTGTGGACAATGTCAAGGTTAATCAGGAGGTGCTTTGGAAATGAAGGGCTGGGAAAAATTCAAAGTGGCTGAGAGCCACCCATCATGTTCTGCTAAATGCTTAGAATAATTAGAAACATAGAGTTGGAAGAGACCACAAGGGCCATCGAGTCAACCCCCTGCCAAGCAGGAAACACCATCAGAGCACTCCTGGACATATGTTGTCAAGCCTCTGCTTAAACAGACGCTCCAAAGAAGGAGACTCCACCACACTCCTTGGCAGCAAATTCCACTGTCGAACAGCTCTTACTGTCAGGAAGTTCTTCCTAATGTTTAGGTGGAATCTTCTTTCTTGTAGTTTGGATCCATTGCTCCGTGTCCGCTTCTCTGGAGCAGCAGAAAACAACCTTTCTCCCTCCTCTATATGACATCCTTTTATATATTTGAACATGGCTATCATATCACCCCTTAACCTCCTCTTCTCCAGGCTAAACATGCCCAGACTCCTTAGCCGTTCCTCAGCGAAGTAAGGCATTCGTTTCCAGGCCTGTTGACCATTTTGGTTTGCCCTCCTCTGGAGGAGGGAGTGTGACTGTGCTACTGGCAACTCTGCCTAAAAGCTGAAGGAGATCAAAGGCTGAGCTTCCCCAAAGGGCTGAATGAAACAGTGCTTCATTAATGTTCAGGCAGGAAAAGGCACCCAAGAATCAAAGCTGGCACGGTGTACTTTCAAAACACGTTCTTGTACAATAAAAATTCCCCCACAAAAAATCAAAATTTAATAATAAAAACCTTTATATGATAGTATGAACATTTAAGGTTTAATGCTGCCAGCCTATAAAAATGGTAAAAAGACTTCGGCTTCAGACATTTTAGCAAATATTAAGATGTTAATGACAATTAATACTAGATTATGCAGGTGCTGAACTCATTAACAGTTCCCAATTAGCAGTGAGCAAACCTCTCTAGCAGAACACGAATTCAGAGAAGATTAAACATTATATTCCCATACACACAAGTCCTATAGAGAACTTAAAAAGATCTTAGACCCTAGAAGTCTCACTGGATTAGCTGAACGCATTTTAATAGTTGTGCTTTGCTTGTAATCTGCAGAAGATAGGCCTACTAGGGGCAAAATACATCTTTCCTCTTGCAATTCTCCCTCCTATAATCCATTGTTAGAAATAACGAGTGGACTCAGTGCATTTCCTAAAAAATTATTGTATATAATTCTCTATCATATCGTCAAGAAAGGATACAAGTTAGTGTAAACACAAGGAATATTTAAAGGGCTGCTACAAAACCTCCTGTTTAAGAAGGAGACCGCTGGAAAGAAACCAATTCACACCCATTTTCAGCTGCAACGCCCACATCCAGACACCACGAAAAAGCACAAGCGAGCGTGTTCTTGTGTGCTTGTCAGAGTTGTTTCCTATCTGCCTGCAAGCAACCAGCAATTACAATTGGCCAGAAAAAATGGGAACTGACGGCACCGATCAATAATTTAAGAGGGATGGGATCATGTGCAGGAACGACTATTGTCCTCATATGCGGAGAGCCTGCCCTCGACATAACAGTCAGTTTGGTCAAAATGATTCCCACAGCAGCAATAGACCAACTTGCAAGAACCAGAGAGTGGCATTTTGGGTAGCATCACCAATATATATATATATTTTAAAAAAACAATTTTTTTAGTATTCAAGTTTGGTCCAGTGTAGGAATAGGACAAACCTTTTCCCCCGCCAAGGGCTGCTTCCTCAGAGGATAACGTGACGGAGGGCCGTGGGGGCTAGACGCAGGTTGGACAGGGCCGAGAACTGCAGGTCCTCAGCAACACCCCATGCTGTTTCTCTCGCCCCAAAGATTGGAGAGTGAACATTTATGCGTGAGATGGCTGTGAAACAAAACAGTAACCGTCTCTCCCCTCGGAACACACAGAACGTGCCCCTCTGGAAAGTGCTCTCTCTCTTCCTGCCGACAAGAGGGAAAAGGCTTTTTTTGTTGGTACAAATGGGGCAGGATCTGCACTGCAAAGCGTTCCCTGGTTCAGTGGGGAGCGTGTCCAAGGTGGAGGCTGTAAGGAGCAAGGAAGAGGAGGTGCCATCTCGCGTCTCGGCCATATGACAAAGAAGATCACTGCTAGGTCCTCATGTAAAAAACAGCAACATATATTAGCAATTTTAAGGAATGTTTATTTGTGGCAAGATTGATTCCGGGGGAAATGACGAAATTGTTTAAGGGGGTCAGTGTATTCGGAAGCTTGGACCACGACACTCTGCAACGATCTTCAGGGCCAAGCAGCCTGGCAGACCAAGGTTTGAGACAGGAGCCAGGCACATGCTTGCGAGGGTCAGTCGAGGCGTAAGACATGGTACAGCCAGGAGCTTTCTTTCATTAGAACGGAGAGACATCTTACAAGTCATTGTATCTGCCGCCATGTCACTAGCCATGTTATCACGATACGGGAAGAATGATTCTCAGACGCAGTTCAGAGGGATATTTGTATAAGTGCTTAAGAATTTCGAGCGTTTTGTTCTCGTCCTGGTTGTGTTCGTCTTGGTCCTAATGAGTCTATGTTGTTGCCTGCTTATGGGTACCGTATTGCATTTTTGTCGCTCACATAGGGCGCACGCGACCGGCTAGAGGCGCGACACCCAGGGTTGGTTAGGGGGGGGATCAAGAAAAATTAATCTTTTTTCGCCCTCCCTACGCCAGTCGCCGCACAAGAGCAGCGCTTTAAGTATCAGGGATCTGGTTGTTGCGCATTATTCACGTCTCACCTGCCGGTAGGGGTTGGCGCGCGTGCTATGGCACAAGCCAAGGGAAGCCAGCGGGGATCCATCCCGCTGGCTGCTTTTGGCTCCATCTTTAGCCACGCCCAACCTCTCCGTCACCGGGGAGAAAGCTGCGCGGGTGCTTAGAGAAGAAGGCATAGCCCACCGTGCAGCCTCTTCCTCTGTCCGGAGGGGGCTCGGCAGCGCGGTTCTTTGATCCCTGAAGCCTGAAGAGCGGAGGGGTTTGGTGCGCACCGGATGCCTCTCGCTCTCTCCAGGCTTCAGCGAAAGCAACGGAAGCCTACCGAGCTGGACGGAGAGGAGCGCGCTCCCTCATGGCGCTTCGGAGGGCTTAAGCGTTAGACTAATCGACTGAAAGTGTAGGCACAGAGAGAAGATCTGCGCAGATATCGGGATGGTCCAAACATGGACGGACACACTATTTCCACCTGGCTAAGTATGGATTGAGGGAGGGGAGAAAAAGTAGTCGTCCTAATTAGTAGGCGCACATAAAATTCGGATAAGAGGTCGGGACACAACTTACTGATGCGGGACTCTCTCTGCCACAGACTCTTCCTGCTCACCAAGCCCTGTCACCTCTTCAGTTTCTGACACCTCCACCTCCCATTCCTTTCCCTCCCCTCCCTCTGACCACTCACTGTCACCCCACCACCAATCCCTGGGCTCTGAGCCTTCTTTCCTTGGGGTTCCCCAGCCAGTTCCATCATTCCTCTGTGTCCATGACATGGTGGTTTTATTAGGCTGGGTAAATGACAGGTAGCTTGATGCGGGAAAGGAATTGGCGTTAGGAACAATGGACAATTTGTGCTGATTTCCGTTAGTTTTGTTTTGTTTGTTTTTTAAAATACAGTGGTACCTCGGGTTACAGACACTTCAGGTTGCAGCCGCTTCAGGTTACAGACTCCGCTAACCCAGAAATAATACCTTGGGTTAAGAACTTTGCTTCAGGATGAGAACAGAAATAGTGCGGTGGCAGTGGGAGGCCCCATTAGCTAAAGTGGGGCTTCAGGTTAAGAACAGACCTCCAGAACGAATTAAGTTCTTAACCCGAGGTACCACTGTAATAATTAAAGTTTATGACAAACGCATACAGAATACAATAGAAATGATTAATATGGCTAATAGCAAGAAATGTGAAAGGAGAAAAATAAAACACAGGTGCAGAGGAGGTGTAAAAAACCAAGAAACTACTGAGAATACAGTGCCACATTCAATTGTTGCATATGAGAAGAAAAAATTGGGTCAGTGTACTTGTCTGTAGAGCAGGGAGGTTAGTGGGCTGTTTCAGTTGAGTTCGCATAGGAGAGAAACTTCAACCATATTGAGTGAAAAAGACCCATCTCGATGAACCATTAGTGACTCTCTGTTAATATGCCCTGTGGAACTCCCTCCCACCAGATGTCAAAGAGAACAACAACTACCAAACTTTTAGAAGACATCTGAAGGCAGCCCTCTTTAGGGAGGTTTTTAATGTTTGATGCATTACTGTATTTTAATATTTGGTTGGAAGCCGCCCAGAGTGGCTGGGGAAGCCCAGCCAGATGGTCGGGGTATAAATAATAAATTATTATTATTACAATGTCCCATACTTTCACTAACTACACCTCCTAGGAAGGAGGTGGTGTCAACTTCCAATGGGCAGCCCCTGTCAATCTGGCTGCAGCAAGAATGCTTCGTCCTTCAGATTAATAAAAGTATTGCCCCCAAAAAACATTTTTCTGTTCACAGAGGTACTTTGGATTGTTGGAAGTAAATTCAAGTCCAGTTTTTGTACTTGTATTGGTCAAGATGTGTTGCAAACACTAGTTTTAACCAAGTCTGTTCTTCCTTTACCCTTAAAACTCACGCTGTGTGCAAATGTAGCTCTTCAATAAGAGGCATACAAACATGATATTTATTCTTTATCCAGATACTTGGAATCCAGCACAATTTTCTGTCTCCAGGTAGTAGAGAACAGATGCTGTGTGTCATAGGTATGACTAGTCACCTGCTGGACAGAAGTCATGGGGTGCATGTGGCACAAGAGCCCCTGGCCTTCAGCGAACATTCCCTGGAGACCAAGGTGGCTGCCGACCTGTCCTGTGGAATGCCATTCCATCAGACGTCAAAGAGATGAGTAACTACATAACCTTTAGAGGTCATCTGAAGGCAGCCCTGAATTGGGAATCTTTTTAATGTGTAATTTTTAATGATGTTTTTATATATGTTGGAAGCCACCCAGAGTGGCCACGGCAACCAGTCTGGTGGGGGGGTGTGTGTGTTACAAATAATAAATTGTTATTGTTCTGAAAGGATACCCTGAATAATCCAAAGGGAAATGATGGTGATTGTTCAGTACCATAGGGTGGGTTTCCACTGCCCCCCCCACAAAGGAATAAACAAAAGCATTTCTGTTTCTGAACATAAAACCATGCTCAGTGCATTTTTGTTATCACAGCGTAATGCAAATGTAATGTAATGTAACGTAATGTAAGGGACGCGGGTGGCGCTGTGGGTAAAAGCCTCAGCGCCTAGGGCTTGCCGATCGAAAGGTCGGCGGTTCGAATCCCCGCGGTGGGGTGTGCTCCCATCGTTCGGTCCCAGCGCCTGCCAACCTAGCAGTTCAAAGCACCCCCGGGTGCAAGTAGATAAATAGGGACCGCTTACCGGCGGGAAGGTAAACGGCGTTCCGTGTGCTGCGCTGGCTCGCCAGATGCAGCTTTGTCACGCTGGCCATGTGACCCAGAAGTGTCTCCGGACAGCGCTGGCCCCCGGCCTCTTGAGTGAGATGGGCGCACAACCCTAGAGTCTGTCAAGACTGGCCCGTACGGGCAGGGGTACCTTTACCTTTAATGCAAATCGGGGCTGCAAAAATGAAAGATGAGTAACTGCGGTACTTGCCATGCTTATGGTCCATAGCCTTGCATGTTGATGGTCTGAAGAGCCACCTCTCTTCTCTGCATTGAGGTATCCTCACCTTAGCTAGGCCACCCTTTTGGGTTTAACCCTAGAATCCCTCCTCCCAAACTATCCTGTGTAGCAGGTCGCTCTGCTGTTTCCTAACCACGAATTGTGCACCACAGCATTCCTGTACTTCATGTGTTTTAGCACTCGAGAGTAAGCAACAGTGCCCATGTGCAGCCAATACCACGCGCTCTCAAGTTTCCTTTTTGGAATCGCTGCACCACAGCTGCTCCTGGCGAGACCCAGTACATCCTAGCATTTACAGGATGAACCACTGGGTGAAGTAGGATTGCTAACTGGCTGCACGTCCTTTTTTCACATTGCTAAGATTAAGATGGGACGCGGGTGGCACCGTGGGTTAAACCACAGAGCCTAGGACTTGCCGATCAGAAGGTCGGCGGTTCGAATCCCCACGACGGGGTGAGCTCCCGTTGCTCGGTCCCTGCTCCTGCCAACCTAGCAGTTTGAAAGCACCTCAAAGTGCAAGTAGATAAATAGGTACCACTCCGGCGGGAAGGTAAACGGCGTTTCCGTGCGCTGCTCTGGTTCGCCAGAAGCGCCTTAGTCATGCTGGCCACGTGACCCGGAAGCTGTACGCCGGCTCCCTTGGCCAATAAAATGAGATGAGCGCCACAACTCCAATCGGTCACGACTGGACCTAATGGTCAGGGTAATCTTTACCTTTAAGATTAAGATGCCTGGGAAGGTGGAGGTGACAAAAGAAATGGAAGATAAATAATCCCAAAGGGCAGGTAGGAAGTGGGATGCTCCTCCGGGTGTTGACATCACCCTTGTAGAACCACATCGCTGCCAGAAGGGTGGAAGTTTCCCAAGGCAGTCTGAATGTACACACCAGGGCTGAAGCACAAGTTGAATTTGGCTCAAGTTCTCAATTCAGATCAAAGCTGGTTTTGGCACAAGCGTGAACACCATTGGTAGTGTTTCTTGGGAGAACTGGAATTCCTTACATTGATTTAATTTTTATGTATATTTTTATATATATAGTGCATGGAATAAACAGCCTTCCGAGGCCCCACACTAGTGACTCTTCAGGGAAAAGGAGGATCTACCTAGGTGGAAGTTGTACTAATTTAAGAAAAACAGATAATCTAGATGGAGAATGTAAAATGCAAGAGTCTTAATATCCCTTCGTTTTAGAAGTTGCAAGGATATGTTATCAACCACAGTTGATGTGGTTGTTGTTGTTTAACTTCTAACACCAGGTGGCACAAGCGAGTTATTTTTGCACACTCTTCCAGTGAGAAATTACGGTATAGAGCCAGAGATTTGTTGCACAGATCAAGACTCCCAATCAGCCAATAAAGAGTAATTGCAAGAGGAAGGAATAAGGAAACCACACCTGGTTTTGAGACTTTGTGACTAGTCTCAAGGCCATACAGGGATCTGAACCCAGGTCTCCATCTGACGCTCTAACCACATTGCACCATTAAAACCCAAATTCAAGGTCTAAGAAAGAGTGAAGCTTGGAATTTCTTGGGTTGTAGTCGGCTAACTTTTTCTCAGAGCAGACCCACTGAACCTAAATTAGTCATGGCCATTAATTTTAATGCATTTACTCTGAGTAAAAGGTAGTTTTATATAACCGTAACTTGTCCCATCATTCAACATATATGTAAAAAAAAAAAATATCAGTTCAAATCACCCCCCAACTCTGGCTCATGAGGACAGAGGAGCCGCACATTTCAGTGCAAGGAAAAACAGCTTTGGACAAGGCTTGGCCCCCTCTCCTTATCAGTGCAAAAAAGCACCAGTACATGTGTTCAGCTGCTAAAGATGCTCAGTTTGAGTCTCTTCCCATAAATGAAAAGCAGGTGTGCAGAGCTGTTCTGAGGCTCTCAGGAGTCATTGCCCGAGAAATGGACATGGTTAAGCATATTGCCACCATGCAGATTAATACCTTCATCGATCTGAGCACAGCATGTTAGAAAAAGTGGCAGGTGGAACTTAACAGGGTTTTGATGGTGTAAATGATGTTTTTCAGCATTCCTGCCTAGGGAGAGGACTTTGCCTTATGCAGCAGAGTCCCCCTCCTCTCCCAGAACAGGAGGGAGAATCTGGTTACCTGCAGAAGTGTGATCTGCAGAACTGGTGCACATGCACCACTCTTATTGGTATTTATTAACTTGCTATAGTACCCTTCATCTGATGATCGCAGGGCAGTAGCCAAGTGTCCCTGCAAAGTCCTGGGACTTGACCTCTACAGTTGTGCACAGATTCTGGTGTCGTTGGTTGCTCCCGCAGATAAACCAAAGTAGCAGATAAAGGTAAAGAGACCCCTGACTATCAGGTCCAGTCATGACCGACTCTGGGGTTGCGGCGCTCATCTCGCTTTATTGGCCGAGGGAGCCGGCGTACAGCTTCCGGGTCATGTGGCCAGCAGGACTAAGCCGCTTCTGGCGAACCAGAGCAGCGCACGGAAACGCCGTTTACCTTCCCGCCGGAGCGGTACCTATTTATCTACTTGCACTTTGACGTGCTTTCGAACTGCTAGGATGGCAGGAGCAGGGACTGAGCAACGGGAGCTCACCCCGTCGCGGGGATTCGAACCACCGACCTTCTGATCGGCAAGTCCTAGGCTCTGTGGTTTAACCCACAGCGCCACCCGCGTCCCAAGTAGCAGATAGAAATGGTTTAAAAGATGAACCCCCCCACCCCCCAGTGAATAAGTATTTCCCCAGTCTAGGAAGGGCACTGGTCCACTGTGGCCACAATGCAAGGTAATCAGGAGGTGCTTTGGAAATGAAGGGCTGGGAATTCAAAAGTGGCTGGAGAGCCACACCATCATGTTCTGCAATGCTTAGAATCATAGAATCATAGAGTTGGAAGAGACCACAAGGGCCATCGAGTCCAACCCCCTGCCAAGCAGGAAACACCATCAGAGCACTCCTGACATATGGTTGTCAAGCCTCTGCTTAAAGACCTCCAAAGAAGGAGACTCCACCACACTCCTTGGCAGCAAATTCCACTGTCAAACAGCTCTTACTGTCAGGAAGTTCTTCCTAATGTTTAGGTGGAATCTTCTTTCTTGTAGTTTGGATCCATTGCTCCGTGTCCGCTTCTCTGGAGCAGCAGAAAACAACCTTTCTCCCTCCTCTATGTGACATCCTTTTATATATTTGAACATGGCTATCATATCACCCCTTCACCTCCTCTTCTCCAGGCTAAACATGCCCAGCTCCCTTAGCCGTTCCTCATAAGGCATCGTTTCCAGGCCTTTGGCCATTTTGGTTGCCCTCCTCTGGAGGAGGAGTGTGCTACTGTGCTACTGGCACACTCTGCCTAAAAGCTGAAGAATAAAGGCTGAGCTTCCCCAAACTGAATGAACAGTGCTTCATTAATGTTCAGCGAAAACACCCAAGGATACAAGCTGCACGGTGTACTTTCAAAACACGTTCTTGTACAATATTCACATCATAAAAATAAAAACCTTTATTGATAGTATGAACATTTAAGGTTTAATGCTGCCAGCTATAAAAATGGTAAAAAGACTTCGGCTTCAGACATTTTACAAATATACAGATGTTAATGACAATTAATACTAGATTATGCAGTCTGAACTTCATTAAATTCCCATTAGCCAGTGACAAACCTCTCTAGCAACACACGATTCAGAGAAGATTAAACATTATATTCCCATACACACAAGTCTATAGAGAACTTAAAAGACTAACCCTAGAAGTCTCACTGGATTAGCTGGAACCATTTTAATAGTTGTGCTTTGTTTAATCTCAGAAGATAGGCTACTAGCAAAAATACATCTTTCCTCTTGCATTCTCCCTTCCTATAATCCATTGTTGAATACAGTACTCAGTGCATTTCCTAATAAAATTATTGTATATAAATCTCTATCATATCGTCAAGAAAGGATACAAGTTAGTGTAAACACAAGGAAATATTTAAAGGGCTGCTACAAAACCCTCCTGTTTTAAGAGAAGAGACGCTGGAAAGAAACCATTCACCCCATTTTCAGCTGCACGGCCCACATCCAGACACCCGAAAAAGCACAAGCGAGCTGTTCTGTGTGCTTGTCAGAGTTGTTTCCTATCTGCCTGCAAGCAACCAGCAATTACAATTGGCCAGAAAAATGGGAACTGCGGCACACGGATCAAAATTTAAGAGGGATGGGATCATGTGGCAGGACCGCCTATGTCCTCATATGCCGGAGAGCCTGCCCTCAGAAATAACAGTCAGTTGGCCAAAATGATTCCAGCACAGCAATAGACCAACTTGCAAGACCAGAGAGTGGCATTTTGGAGCAGCACCAATATATATATATATTTTAAAAAAACAAGTATTCAAGAGCTTTGGTCCAGTGAAGGAATAGGACAACCTTCTCCCCCCTGCCAAGGGCTGCATTCCCTCAGAGGAAACTGACGGAGGGCCGTGGGGGCTAGACGCAGGGTTGGACAGGGCCAGAACTGCAGGTCCTCAGCACACCCCATGCTGTTTCTCTCGCCCCAAAGATTGGAGAGTGAACAATTATGCGTGAGATGGCTGTGAAACAAAACAGTAACCGTCTCTCCCCTCGGAACACACAGACGTGCCCCTCTGGAAAGTGCTTTTCTCTTCCTGCCGACAGAGGGAAAGGCTTTTGTAGGTACAAATGGGGCAGGATCTGCACCTGCAAAGCTTCCCCTGGTCAGGTGGGGAGCGTGTCCAAGGTGGAGGCTGTAAGGAGCAGGAAGAGGAGGGCCACTCGCGTCTCGCCATATGACAAAGAAGATCACCTGCTGGTCCTCATGTAAAAACAGCAACATTATATTACAATTTTAAAATGTTTATTTGTGCAGATTGATTCCGGGGGAAATGACGAAATGTGTTAAGGTCAGTGTATTCGGAAGCTTGACCACACACTCCTGCAACATCTCAGGGCCAAGCAGCCTGGCACCGTTTGAGACAGGAGCCAGGCACATGGCTTGCGAGGGTCAGAGGCGTAAGACATGTACAGCACAGGGAGCTTCTTCATTAGAACGAAGACATCTTCAGTCTTGTATCTGCCCCATGTCACTAGCCATGTTTACTAGGGGAAAAGTTCTCAGACATAGGGGATATAAAGCTTAAGAACAGCTTCCTCGTGGGTTGAATCCAATGCCGTGCCGCTGTTTACCGTATTTTTCGCTCCATAGGGCGCACCGGACCATAGGGCGCACCCAGGTTTTAGGGGGGGGGGAATCAAGAAAAATAATCTTATTCCCCCCCCCCAGCCCCAAAGAGCAGCATACAGGATGTGCGCAACCTCTCCCTGCCGGAGGGGTTGCGCGCGGCTATGGCACAAGCCAAGGAAGCCAGCGGGATCCATCCCGCTGGCTGCTTTGGCTTCCTCTTTAGCCCCACGCAACCTCTCCGTCCCGGGAGAAGCTGCGCGGGGCTAAAGAAGCCATAGCCACGTGCAGCCTCTCCCTGCCGGAGGGGCTGCGCGCGGCTATCCCTGAAGCCTGAAGAGCGAGGGGTTGGTGCGCACCGATGCCTCTCGCTCTCCAGGCTTCAGCGAAAGCAACGCGAAGCCTCCGGAGCACGGAGGGAGCGCTCCCTCTGCGCTTCGGAGGCTTAGCGTTGCTATCGCTGAAGCCAAGGAACCTGCATTCGTTCCACAGGACGCACACACATTTCCCCTCAATTTTTGGAGGGGAAAAAGTGCGTCCTATAGAGCGAAAAATACGGTAAGTGGGACACACTTCACTCTTCCCCCTACCCCACCCCACTGCCCTCCATGCACTCTCCAAACCTGGAGAGTTTGCAGCCCTTCGGGAGAAATTCTGGGGATGGAGGGAAGAGAGAAAGGTCACATCCCAGTGTGCAAGCAGTGTTGGATTTCACCCCGTAAGTGTAGTTCCTCGTTCTTTTTCTCTTTTTTGAGATATGAAGAATTTCAACGATATCATCAAACCAAGATTAAATGAGTTGTGTGCACAACCTGAAGACTCCCCTCTTTCCCCACATATATATGCATCTCTACGTGAAACATAATAATAATGATTTGGTTTCCACAGCGCTGCCAAGGAGGTTGGGCTGCCTTATCTCAGCAAGCACCCCTTAGGCAGCAAGACCGATGTCAGCTCGACATACAGGATTACTGCGGCATGAGCACGTTTTAAGTTATTGCTTTGGATCGTCTAGTATGGATCCCTATCCTTCCAATGCAAAAACCTGTATAGAATTGACTAACCATTTCTCATTTCAAGTAACGTTGAAGATCTTTATCAAATAACAAGATCCCGCTCTCAGAAGTTCTACACACACACACACATACAACAGTAGACTATGTGAAGAATATTAAAAGCTAGCTTTCAAGATTTGATCTCGCCTATTTTATCTCTCTGCGTAAGAGAAAAATGCAAGGAATGGATACTTGACTGGGAAAAAGAAAACCCAAACAAACTGGCACCCTGATTGTTTAAAGCTCCCAAAGTGTTTTTAAAGAAAGGTTATGTCGTCAGAAAGGCCTGGGTTGCCTAAAGCTCAGCAACAGGGGCCAAAGTGCTCCTGACACAGCAGCTACATGGACTGACTTGGTTCATAGCAGGGAAACAACTGACCGATTCTAGCGGTCACCTTTGGAACATTCCCCTTCTGTAGTGTACTGCGAACTGGATTAAGAACAGTGTTGATTTCAACATTCATGATTCAGAGAGGAAACTGCTTTCTGCAGTTGGACGATCCCTTCTGGGATTTGCAGAGAATCACATTCATATCTGCAGGCTTAAGCTCAGGCACTTCTTAGAAAATGTCTGTCTGGAATGGAAGTTTGCATGGAGTGTTGTGTTTTTTTCTGCATAATTTAAAAATGAGTGTTCCGTCATCATAGTCCGCTGGTCCGCTCCCAGCATCAGGAATTCACCGCATCTCTCCGTCTCTTTTTCTCTCTCTGTTTGATGTGCCTGCTGCTATGAGAGACCTTGAGGCTCTAGTGTTTAAGAAAGGTCTGTACACAAGTCGTGCTATTTTCTACACGCTATAAAATAAAAGGAAAAGGACACTAAGTGTGTTATACAAACAGATTTTTGTTACTACCCAAATAATAAATAACATGGAGTGGCTAAGACAGTGTTTCAGCTCTGGGAATTGCAAACGCTCGGATTGCAGCTCTTTCTGGAGACTAGCTGTTGGCTGGCAGTAAGATCTCAATTTCCTTCCCGTTGGCCACCACGGCATTGATTGAGCAGCTGCTCGCCAAGTCCGCAGGGGAACCCAGAGAAGGTGCCTGAGAGGAGGTCTTCGTCGGTGGAGTGTGGCTGGCTGGAGAAGGAGCCAGCCCAGGTTTCTTTGGAGGAATCGGCGGAGGGTTCCCTCTTTCGGCTCTGGGTATGGTTGGCGATTTAATGCCAGGCGAGAGCGGGCTCAGCGGGCTGGAGACTTTGCCCGGGCTCGACTCGCTTTTGGGGCTCATGGCGCTGGCCAGGGTCCGGTAGTCTGTGCCAAAGGGGGAGCTGTTGGGCGAGACGGGCTTGATGGGACCCTGCTGGCTGGTGAACCTGGAGAGGACCTGAGTGACGGTGTTGCGGGCAAGCTGCTTGGCGGCCGAGTTGTCAACGAGGGTGGGCGACAGGTCCCTGGACGGAGGGCTTTGGAGACCGCTCGACGGGTGGTCCTGGTCAGCTTGGGATTGGAATTTGTGGCGAGCAGCGTGGAAGCGCTGGTTGATCCCCACCTGGTAGGAAGACTGGTAACTGGGGCTGCTGGCCGAGGCTCCAACCAAGCGCTTCGTCATCACTGGGGAGGAGCACGGGGAGGACGTCAGCGAGGAAGAGGCGGTGTTGCTCGGAGACAAGGAGATCCCACTGGAAGGCAGCGGCGGGATGGATGGGGAAAGAGACTCTGTCCTCACCGGGGAGCTGCTGTTTTCAGTGGGACCCTCAGGAGTGGACCCAGCAGGCTTGTTCTTCTCCAGATTCTCCATGCTGGGCTGGGCTGGCTCCACGCTCGCTTGTGCATCAGCCTCGCAGTGCCCATTTGCCTTGGCGTAAGATTGGGGGGCCGTGGCAGTGACAGGTGATAGGGCACGTGCCAGTTTGATGGTGCTTCCCTGGCTCTCCTTCAAGGGGCTTTCTGTCTGGCAAGCGACGGACCGACATGGGTCTTCTGTGACGGTCGCAATGGACACCTTGGAGACACTGGGTGGAGGGTTCTCTGCTTTGCAGGAAGCCTCCAGCTCCTTGAGGGTCTGCTTCAGCTGCTCCACTTCTTCCTTCAGGGCCTTGGTGCGGTTCTCTTCCCGGTTCAGCTTGGCTCTCAGCTGCTCCCGCTCGATGTCGAACTCCGAGAGCTGCTTCTCGACCTGGGCCTCCATCTGCAAGCCCCTCTTCTTCTTGGCTGCCAGCTCCTCCTCCAGCTGGCTCACTTTGCTCCTCTCCTTCTCCAGCTTCCCGCTCAGCTCCCCCAGCTTCTGGCCCTCCTCCGCAGCCTTGGCGGCGGCTTTCTTGCACTCCAGCACCAGCATGGAGGAGAGCTGCTTGTGATGGGCGTGCTCCTCCTCCAGCTGACTCGAGAGCTTCTTCTGCTCCCTTTCAAACTTCTTCACCTGGGACTTCTCAAATTCCAGCTGGAAGGGAAGAGAAAGAGGCTTAGGGGGAGGAGGGGACCATGTTGGGCTTCTCAAACACTCCCCACAAAGAGAAAGATAATAATAACAATTATTATTATTATTATTATTAAGACCCTCACAATGTCAATTGTGTCAGTTAACGAGGGGAGAACAAGTGCAAGAAAAACAAAGGTCTTTCTTGTGAAAATTCTGCCCTCCCAGGCTGACAGGTGTCTAAATCAACGGAAGATGATTTAGACACCTGTATAATAATAATAATAATAATTTATTTAATAATTTATTATTTAGACCCCGCCCATCTGGCTGGGTTTCCCCATTCACTCTGGGCGGCTTCCAACAAAACACTAAAATACAATAACCTATTAAACATTAAAATCTTCTCTAAACAGGGCTGCCTTCAGATGTCTTCTAAAAGTCTGGTAGTTGTTTTTCTCTTTGACATCCGGTGGGAGGGCGTTACACAGGGCAGGCGCCACCACCAAGAAGGATCTCTGCCTGGTTCCCTGTAACTTGGCTTCTCACAGCGAGGGAACCGCCAGAAGGCCCTTGGATCTCGACCTCAGTGTCCAGGTAGAACGATGGAGGTGGAGACACTCCTTCAGGTATACTGGCCGAGGCCGTTTAGGCTTTAAAGGTCAGCACCAACACTTTGAATCGTGCTCGGAAATGTACTGGGAGCCAGTTTAGGTCTTTCAAGACCCGAGTTATATGGTCTCGGTGGCCGCTCCCAGTCACCAGTCTAATTGTTGAGTACATAATGTACTTCCTGCAAACTGAGGGCCACATTCTCTTAGGTTAACAGTGTAAGAGACTTCCTACTTGCAGTAGGTAGGGGCGGAGCCAAAGATCCATTCATCCTATCACACAAACACAAACCTGTTCCCACTGTGCGACTGCAATTTGAAATTGGGGGGGGGGGATCCCCTCCCCTCCATGCAAATAGTAGGCATTGGGACTCCAGTTCCAGAATGGGACCAGGGGTGGGCTTTTAAACTTTGCTCCCACTGCAGTCCTGATCTTGACTGCCACAGCCATTGGCATTGGGGGAAAATTCGATCGACCCCTGTTTCTTCCCATGGGCAAACAGAAGAGGGGAGAGAAGACAATCATATTTTCACTACCACTAAAATGCACAGCGCAGAGCCAAAGGGTGTATCAAATTTCATAAGCTGCATTTCCTTTTATCCTCAAATGTTATTTTGAAAGACCTACATTGGCTCCCAGTACGTTTCCGAGCACAATTCAAAGTGTTGGTGTTGACCTTTAAAGCCCTAAACGGCCTCGGTCCTGTATACCTGAAGGAGCGTCTCCACCCCCATTGTTCTGCCCGGACACTGAGGTCCAGCTCCGAGTGGTTCCCATATTGCGAGAAGCAAAGCTACAGGGAACCAGGCAGAGGGCCTTCTTGGTGGTGGCGCCCTCCCTGTGGAACACCCTCCCACCGGATGTCAAAGAGAAAAATAATTATCAAACTTTTAGAAGACATCTGAAGGCAGCCCTGTTCAGGGAAGTTTTTGATGTGTGACATTTTTATGTATTTTTAATCTTTGTTAGAAGCCGCCCAGATTGGCTGGGGAAACCCAGCCAGATGGGTGGGGTACAAATAATAAATTATTATTATTATTATTATAAATAGTAAATTCTTATTATTATTACATCTCTTTGCTTCTTTATGTGTTCCTACAAAGACCAAAACCGACTGGCCACTGCAACGGAGCAAAAACTCCTTCCAAGTCTCCTTCCATGTTGGCAGGGGGAGAGCCAAGTCTTGGAGACAGAAATACTGGTGCTGGCTGCTGGTCTCCTCACCCACGCAAGGCAAGTTCTCTGTGTTGAACAGCAATTAATCACTCCTCCCTGAACGCTGAGTAAGGAGTGAGAGGGCATACCTGTTGGGTGAGCCGCTCTCGCTCCTTTTCCAGCATGTACGTGACATCATCCCCTTCAGCAGTATCTTGGGCGTGCCTCTGCCTCTCTTCCTCAAGATCCAAGATTACCTTTCAAAAGAGAAAAGAACACCATCCATCACCTTGAAAGACAGCAATAATTACAAGTGTATCCAGATGTGCAGGCCGGGTCCCTTTCTGCCGAAAGCAAAAATGAAAGCTCTAATGAAGGCATGCAGAACCCCTGACCTTGACTTACGTGCAAGGGTTCTGAGAAACTACACTATCAACCCACCCCCGTCCATTTTCGGCAGTTTTCAAAGTTTGTCCTCTTTCGGCTTGTGAAAGAAATGACAAAAACATGCACAAAGAACAGCAACAGACACACACATAGTGACACTTTGCTGAAATAATTTGCTGAACAATTCTGAAAACCTGAATCAGTTGTTATATGAATTTGAGCCCACCAGAAGAAAACCTAAACAGATGGACAAAAACAGATGCTCAGAAGAATGAAAGTCTTCTGGGTCAAAAATGAAATTTGTACAAATATACTTTTGTTTTCTATTATTTTAGAGAGACAACTGTTTCAGTCACTAGCAGCACAAAGCCAGGGAGAGAAAAGGGGGAATCTTGTAGCACTTCGAACAAATCTATTTCAAGTGCTTTAAAACCTGCTTTGAGCAGCATTTGGTAACAGCTGGGAGCTGGAGATTGTTTCCAGCCCATTCCAAGAGAATCGTGGTGCATGAAAGAGCTTTGAGCTCTGGAGTCGGTCATTTGTTCCCCTGCCACGAACCAAGTCAGTGTGGCTGAGGGAGCCTTTGGCCCACAGGCCTGAGCTTCCCCACCCCTGAGCTAGATCATCTTCAATCAATTCTGAGAAGTTCCCTACAGTTCCAATAGCAGCATCAATAATAAAAATCACAGCACATTTGTGTTTTAAATATCTGAAGAGTGCTAGTTAGAGGCATCATATATGTTAGCCCTGCAATGTGATTTTACTGAACATAAGCAACATTTGAGATACAGAAATGTGCAAAACAGCAATGAAAATGTCACATCAAATTATAAAAGTGGTCCAATATGTAATGTTAACCTGTCATGCAGTATCTTTCTTTCTTTTCCCCCTTCCCTCCCTCCCACCTCATGAAACCCACCTTTCGATGCCTGCTCTCTGCAGCTGCGAGCTGGGACAACATTTTCTCCTGCATATTCTTGCAGTGTTTCATCACAACCTTCAGGATGGACAAGGGATTGGCACAAACGGGCTGCTTATCGCCATGGTTCTCTTCCTTCAGCGCCTCAAAATCCCTCTGAAGAGCCATCAGCGGATCACTGATGTTGAATTTTCCATAGCGCTCTTCAATGAAAGCATCTCTGCGCTGGGCCTGAAACACATGATCAAGTTTTTCACGTTGTTAGCTACCAAAGAAAAGGAAAAAGAGAACCCCCAAGATAAAATCCTCATGGAAACAGGAGTCATGAAAGGCTGGTCAGAGTAAAAAACCAGCACAATGACCAGCTGAGATGCACAAATGGGGGACAAAGGAGACATTCTAGAGGCCCCAACAAACAATGGGGGACTTTAACCCCCCCAAAAGAGAGTCACTTATGACAACATTGCAATGCTTATGGTAGTTATCACAGGAGCCAACTCCTAGAGGCCGAGGGGTCTTTGCCCCCCCCAAATATTTGAGCCCCCCGCCAAGTTAATGGACATTATTATTCAAATGGTGTGCATGCACTGCGTCATGTGATCGATTATGTGGTGCGGGGATCACCTTCACCACTCAATATTTTATTCAAGTTGGCACCCTGGTAGTTATTGCTTATAACAACAACATATTTTTATACGTACAGTGGTACCTCGGGTTACATACGCTTCAGGTTACAGACTCCGCTAACCCAGAAATATTACCTCAAGTTAAGAACTTTGCTTCAGGATGAGAACAGAAATTGTGCTCCGGCGGCGCAGTGCCAGCAGGAGGCCCCATTAGCTAAAGTGGTGCTTCAGGTTAAGAACAGTTTCAGGTTAAGAACGGACCTCCGGAACGAATTAAGTACTTAACCCGAGGTACCCTTGTAATTTCACAGGTGTAATATACCATCTATACATCATTTTCATCATATTTTCTTTCAAGGCATTGCAAGCTGTAAATTTTATTCTTTCTTTCCACAACTTCTCCCATTCTTTAAGCTGTATGTTATATCCAAAATCTGGTCAACCTTCCCAGTTTGGGTGCACTGAATGTACCATATGATTTCCAAATTGTCTTTGGCCTTTGTGTTCATTAGTGCTTCAAGATGCTATATAGTTTCCATAGTCTCCCATCACACCTCTTGGGTAAAGTTAGTACAGTGGTACCTCGGGTTACATACACTTCAGGTTACAGACTCTGCTAACCCAGAAATAGTCCCTCGGGTTAAGAACTTTGCTTCAGGATGAGAACAGAAATCGTGCTCCGGCGGTGCAGCAGCAGCGGGAGGCCCCTTTAGCTAAAGTGGTGCTTCAGGTTAAGAACAGTTTCAGGTTAAGAACGGACCTCCGGAACGAATTAAGTACCGTATTTCTCGCTCTATAACATGCACTCGACCATAACACGCACGTAGTTTTTAGAGGAGGAAAATCCGTAGGCATGCCACCCGTAGGCATTCCCTCCATAACACACACAGACATTTCCCCTTACTTTTTAGGAGGAAAAAAGTGAGTGTTATGGTGCAAAAAATACGGTACTTAACCCGAGGTACCACTGTAGGTGGTTCCTTCTATTAGGATAGACTGAATGGATCCGAAGAGGGGAGGGAAGCTGTAAAGGACCACCAGGGACTGCCACCCCTCTGAGCTTTCCCCTTTTGTGCAGAGGTAGGACCAGGGCCCCAGTCAGTCGGGCTTGCTGTTGGAGAATGGCTGGGAGGCAAGCCTGCAGTCAGACAAGACCTGTTATTCCTCCTCCCTGTTGTGTGGTCCTGATACAACAGATGAGTTACGGACTCATTGTTAAAACCGTGTTTATGGAAGACAACCTTACACGGCTATGAGTGATCGCCAAAGAAGGGGAGATGCACAACTGTTGAAAACTAGGCTTCAGAGTTCCTTTGGTGCTGGCATTAACCTTTTTTTTTTTAAAAAAAAAAAGCACTGTGTCTGGGTCCATCTGACAAACCGCAATACACAGGGGCTCTTGCCTCAGAACACAATGTTATGTGTGATAATGAAATTAATACCTTATTACAAGCCACAAAGGAGAGTAGAAACCTGATCAGTATCCTTCCCTCCAGCCATGATTTGCACCATCATTAACTGCAGCTATCAATTTACACCACCGCTTTTCCCAGCAGGAAATCATTTGCAGGAAAAGGAAGCCCAGCTTCCAAATGCAGAGGTCTGTGGTTGTTTTAATTACCGCCAAAAAAGAAATTCCCAAGATCAGCACAAAGGAACCCTTTCAACCGAAGAACCAAGGGTCACACACATCCCTACGACCCCTTTGTGTTAGCTTGCGATGAGTGATGAACACATCAAGGCTGGGCAGTTGCTGGCTGGACAGCCGGCTTCCTCTTCCATTGTTGGCAACCCTGGGCTAACAGATTACAAATGCACACAGGGATCTATTTATAAACTACAATGTAGTAAAGCGGACTTGATAATGGGTCACAAAAGAGTCCAGGATTTGCTTTAGATCTGAGCATTTGAAAGGGATTAAATTTCTCCAGGCGGTGGGGTTCAGCAATTTTACAAACAAGAGTGGCTGGGGAAACCCCGCCAGATGGGCAGGGTATAAATAATAAATTATTATTATTATTATTATTATTATTATTATTATTATTATTATTATTATTATTATTTAGGCAGTATCTCCTCTTGCGATGTAAGAAGGCATCACTTTTCGTTCTGCCCTGCATTTGCCACTTGCAGCACTGTTTCCATTCCACTACAATGCGCCTTCCACCAAAAATGGCATTATTTGCCTCCCTGTCCACTGTGGTGAATTCTGTAACTTAATTCACATTAAGTAATTATGCAAATTACACTGTCATCACAGTTTTCTACCCAGGTCATATCAATGCAAAGGGAATGCAATGCAAATGAAGGGTAGGACCATGATCAACTGCATATTGTCTGTGGACTGAACACAACAACAATGAATCTTATTCACTGGGTTGATTTCCCTTCTAGATATGGGACGAATAAATGAACAGCAATTTCTGCTCCTATTTCCATTTCTCTGTCTTTCCTACTCTTCTCCCCTAATTTCTACCAAACACTCACAACCAGCAGAGGTAGACAGTAGAAAGCTGTAGGGCAGGGTAGCTGGGTTTGAGAACTCATTTTATGGTAATGACAAATATATTGTCTTTAAGAAATCAAACCTCCCCTAGAAAGTCATCAGACCACTAGGCTAGCTCACGTAGAATTGACTACTTCTCCATGTTGTTGTTTAATCGTTTAGTCATGTCCGACTCTTTGTGACCCCATGGACCAAAGCACGCCAGGCACTTCTGTCTTCCACTGCCTCCCGCAGTTTGGTCAAACTCATGCTGGTAGCTTCGAGAACACTATCCAACCATCTCGTCCTCTGTCGCCCCCTTCTCCTTTTGCCCTCCATCTTTCCCAGCATCAGTGTCTTCTCCATGGAGTCTTCTCTTCTCATGAGGTGGCCAAAGTATTGGAGCCTCAGCTTCACGATCTGTCCTTCCAGTGAGCACTCAGGGCTGATTTCCTTAAGAATGGATGCATTTGATCTTCTTGCAGTTCATGGGACTCTCAAGAGTCTTCTCCAGACCATAATTCAAAAGCATCAATTCTTCGGCGATCAGCCTTCTTTATGGTCCAGCTCTCACTTCCATACATCACTACTGGGAAAACCATGGCTTTAACTATACGGACCTTTGTTGGCAAGGTGACGTCTCTACTTCTCAAGATGCTGTCTAGGCCTGTCATTGCCCTTCTCCCAAGAAGCAGGCGTCTTTTAATTTCATGGCTGCTGTCACCATCTGCAGTGATCATGGAGCCCAAGAAAGTAAAATCTCATTCTATCATTTTTGAGATTGCATCCCAGTACAGCTTTCGCCACTCTTTTGTTGACTATGAGGGCCACTCCATTTCTTTTACGGGTTTCTTGCCCACAGTAGTAGATGTGATGGTCATCCGAACTGAATTCGCCCATTCCCGTCCATTTTAGTTCACTGATGCCCAGGATGTCAATATTTATTCTTGCCATCTCATTTTTGACCACCTCCAACTTACCCAGGTTCATGGTTCTTACATTCCAGGTTCCTATGCAATATTTTTCTTTACAGCATTGGACTTTCCTTTCACTTCCAGCCATATCCACAACTGAGCGACCTTTTGGCTTTGGCCCAGCCGCTTCATCAGCTCTGGATCTACTTGTACTTGCCCTCCCCTCTTCCCCAGTAGCATGTTGGACGCCTTCCGACCTGAGGGGCTCATCTTCCAGCGTCATAACTTTTATATGCCTGTTGTCTTTGTCCATGGAGTTTTCTTGGCAAGGATACTGGAGTGGCTTGCCGGTTCCTCCTCCAGGTTGATCACGTTTGGTCAAAACTCTCCACTATGACCTGTTCATCTTGTGTGCCCTGCTCGGCATAGTTCATAGCTTCTCTGAGTTCTTCAAGCCCCTTCGCCACGGCAAGGCAGGGATCCATGAAGGGGCAGTGATCCATGAAGGGGATTCTTGACTTGGCAAGGCATATTTGACAGGTCAGTCTTTGCTCTCTCGACTCCATATGCAAAACAATTATAGACTGGGGGGGGAGTGTCTTTTATGTCACTTTGCTCAACAATATCACCCCACTGGCATTGTATGTTCCGGCTCAAGGCTGCTTCGTACATTTACTGGTACATGTCAGACAGTTCCACTTCTGGCATTTTAGCTGTAGTGGATACACAGTGCTAAAACGAAACAGTGAAGCAGCCCTCCGGAGGTCTGAAGGCTAATGGAAAATTTTTGCTCTCCTGACTGTTCTGGGAAATCCATCCCAGAGCCGCCTTCCTTGTTCAAGGCACATAAAAGCTCTCGGCACACAAAACAAGTCCCAGTTTACCGACTGAATCACATGTTCTGAACCACAGACACCACCACTGTCCCACTCTGGGATGAGAACACTGATACCCATTTAGAACTACTGAGCAGAGAACAACAAGGCATTTCATGAATCGATTCTACAACTGGAGAGGAAAAACACCCCAGGAAATTTAAGAAGCGGAATGGTGCTAGCCTAATCTCAGTCCACACAAATACGAAATGAAAGAGCAGCGCCGCTTCACTTAACGACTGTTCAGTAAATGTAATGCCAGTCTGGAGAGCGAGACTGCTGATCTACCACATATTCATCGCTGTGAGGATTGAAGCATGCGGAAGAGTAA